GGCGAACGGCGTAAGCCTGCCCTCTAGAGCGCCATTGACTTCTGAGTGGAAATACCGTATCCATCTCAACGGCAATTGGATTGTTGGCTCCAGCAGTCGCTTTCGGACCCTCCCAAACAGCACTTTCACGTCTGGAAAAGCGAGTTATTAAACTTTCGAAGCTGCGAAGCACAGTCTTAGACAAAGCTCATCCAGGAGAAGTGGGAACGATGAATATCCCATAGTTGTCATTCTGCCGAGCCGCTGCCTTCAGGGTAAGGTAGGAAGGTGGTTGGAAAAAACGACGAGTGCACAGGATTTTTTCAAAGCGTCCAAGATACCTATCGAAAAAGTTTTTGATCTCATAGCCTTAGTGGAATCCAAATAGAGTGCTTCAACCACAGACAAGCAGAAGTTTTCGAAGTGTACTGAGACCGAAAACACTTTGAGCCATATGAAAAGAGTAACGCTCCTCTTTTTGATTTGCACTGGGTTCACTGTGTAGCAGATATTTTGACCTTGTCATTGTAACTCTACAAAGAAGTTTCTGCTAGTTAAAATGTTGAGGCGCATTCGGCGCGAAAACATTCTTCTAGTTGGCATCGATTTTTGCCTTTGTGCGCGTATACGGTTTTCGACTGTGCTCTTGCACGTAGTACCAACGTTAATTGGGGGATTGTTTTGTCAGAAAATTCTGAAACACCGAAAATATTGGTTGTTGGTACAATTACAAACCACTCTTTATGCAGCCTTCGTGAGACTTTATCAAGACACACGTAATAATAAGCCAAACCTACTGCATACGATCTTCTTGACTTTGTTAAGGAATGCTTGTCTGTTAGCGTCAAACAAGGTACCTATCAAAAACCTTACCTACTAGAACGCTCACAAGTTACTTTATTTTGAAAATAAAAAATGCTCACCGGATTTTGGCGCGCATTTCGCAACCCAAAGCGTAATTTATAGGTCGTTCGCGCTGTGCCCGGAGAGCAACGGCGTTGCGTCCGTTGAAGATAGTTCATGATTGGAAGAGGCGCAGAGAAAACGAGCGGCGAGAGTGTACGAGAAAAGAGGAGTGACGCGCAGTACACGTCATGCGCCTCCGCGCCCTGCGCGTCCGGCTTATACCAGTCTGGCAATTTTATAACTGCTCTTAAGTAGCAGTAATACAGCAGATTGATCCTTCACTTTGCTTAACACAGCTCCGAAACTTTGCACTTTACGGAGCAAGCTATGCAGATGTACGAGATTCCTTCATTAGCCTTACTCTGCTGATCGGCCCCTTCGACATCCATAAAGGCTAGAAGAGAGTCTCTCATCGATAGCAGAAGCACAACGCAAAGAAATATAATTCTTTTCTGGTCTAGTGGAGAGGTCTAAGTGAGTGGTGAAGAGTGCAAATAACTTGTTCTTGTCATACATAAATGACAAAACAACTATTAGAGATTTTTAGCCTTTCCACTGCTGTTTTAAAGGTATTTTTGTCGTTATTTGCTTCTTATTATCAAAGCCTTCTGATTGTAGAGACTAACATACAAAAGAATCGGAGAAGTTGCTTTCAACCAGCTAGAACCCGAAAATTTCACGTTTCAAGGTTATTAGCAACAGCGATTTCGGCCAGCATCATACTGCTGCAATTAACTGAACACAACAACGCGTCTTTCTGTGAAGTCTTTGTTTATATCGGAGACATCTCTTACGCTCTCTACTTAATCCATTGGCCTGTTTATGTCCTTTTACAGCACCATTTTGGAGGAAGCTTTGTAGGTGAGCAACTCCTTCAAACTGTCTTTATTCGAAGACAGTATCAGTTGTCGAGTATGAGATTTACTTTGTATTGTCAAATCATTTTGATTTTCTCTTAGCAGTACAAATAGACATTTCTGCTACATCTATATGAATAGAGCTGAATGCCTATTTGGTATGTCTATGTGCTTATTTTCCGAATACGAATTCTAATTTTGAACCGCTCCGGAGCAATCCTTGCGCACGTAGAATTCTGGGCGGAGCAGGTGTCGTGGGCTACTTTTATTTATCGATCGATAACGATTTCATCGATTTTTCGCAAAGTTCGAGCTACCGGGCGAAAGTTGGCACGGGGGGGGGGGTAAGTGAGCATGCTGACTACGAACACAATGTTACGTCATAGAATTTTTGCGAAGTTTGAGCTACGGGGGTGGGAGTAAGCACAGAAAGTACGTGAGCATGCTGATTACGAGTACAATATAAGTTCCTAGAATTGTGTATTACCTCTACTAATTTTATCGATTTTTAGCAAAGTTTGTGCTACAAGGCTGGAAGTCTATACAGGTAGTAAATAGAATCATACTGATGTGAAAGGTCTCGAAACAGTTCCAGCACTGTTCTCGAATTGTGCAGGAACTTTGCTGCACTGCAGCCGCCCACATACGATTTCATCGGCAAGAGTTAGAGGTTTTTGACCGTATAAGCGAATTTTTCTCAGACTTTATTCATTTCTGTCTAATTTCCCTCCACTTTCGGTTTAATGGATAGAGCCTCGATACTACGGTAAGATTAAAGAAAAAGCTTTCTGTTTAAGCGTTCGATCCCTGTTCGTTGATTTTGTTTAGACCCATTTCATATGCTCCAGAAAGTCGTTGCGTAGTTCCTTTGCTGCGTTGGAAGGTGCAGAAACAGCTTTCTTATACACACGAAGTAGGCCCGAACAAAAATAACGTAGAAAGAATGGACGAGCGGACAAAGACACGTATTCCCGGATACAAGCAAGCAAAACGACGGTCATCCTCCATTTGGTCTAAATCATACCCAGATTAGTCATTAAATCGGTCGTGGCTGCAGCTTTCATAAAAGTAGTCACTGGTGCTTTAACAACTTCGAGCAGAAATTCTACAGCTGTCAGAATTTAACTTTGGGAGGAATTAAGCTTACGATTTATGCTGTTACGAACTCACCTCGGTAAAAATATATTTCTTCGCAAGAGATGCGCTCTTAATGACAACGTGTGCGTCGTGCGATTGGTAGCGGCTGCCAATTGCTATTCTCCTCTTGCAGCACACAAGCTTAGTGATGGCTCGAAAAGTTCCAAATCAGAACTATCAACTGTTTACAACGGAAATCAGGAGTATGCGAGCACTTAGAACAGAGTCAGCTTATATTAGGTTGGCTAATATTAGGTTAAACACAAAGTTTTGCAACTTGTTTCATAACTTCACTCTCATTCAACATGGCGCACTCAAACTTTGGCATCATGTAGAATGCAATATGAGCTACAAGCTAGCACAAATTGTCTGAATTTCGAATACGAAATAAAAAAGTTTCAGGCATTTTTTGAAAACTAGTGAAATTTGAGAATTTTTGGGGTTTCTAGCTAAAATGAGGCCTTTGGCAGCCTAGAACATGCGCAGTAATCCGGATTCGTCTACATATTGCTAAAGGTTGACTCCTTTGGCCTATTAAGAAAGAAACAAAATTTAGGGGCATGTCGAGATTTGGCGTCCTCATAAAATCGAACGAGTCGATGTACGCAAGAGCTGCTGGGGACGACCGTCAATGACTAAAGAGTCCGAAAATCAAATTCCGCCGAAACTTTAATAGTAAGGTTATTTGACCTGCCAAACACGAATATCACATTCATTTGTTGAATCAACGCCTTTTTCCTTGTTTAGGGTGAGACCCCATATCATACACCTACAGTAATCCTACAAAAAAGCCCTTATCACGCAACTTCACTATCGTTTTCGTGATCAGCATGTCAGATAACACCCCTATGCCAAGTTTCAGCTAAATCCGTCAAACTTTGAATTTTTCTCCTTCATACCATGCACCTACCGTAACCCTCACTGCGACGTCCGAATTTGGTAGGACAGCAGCTGAGCTTGTAGCTTACCTAATAACCAATGCAGTGGCAAAATTTGAGTGCGCCATGTTGAGTGAGAGGAAAGTTATGAGACTAGTAGCAAAACTTAGTGTTCAACCTAATAAATAAGTTCGGTTGCTTTTGTATCTCCAAATGCTGCAGACAAATTTTTGTTCAACGTTTGGTATCTCTAGAAAGAGCACTTCACTGGGTATTGAAGCATATATTTTTGAGTAATACTTAACTTCCAAGGAAAAAAATCAGCAAAAAAGTGAGAAACCCAATTTTTTCATAGTGCACAAATATGAGAGAATTCAGTTTTCTTGGTGGAACATTTTCAAAGTGGCAGATCACAAATTTTTTTGTTATTTACTAAATAGGGAAAACTCCTCTGGATTTAAATACCAAACTGCTGTTCTTTACATCCATTACAGCATGAAAACGAAGCTTATAATGCAAAAGAGCTGGTATGCAATCAAACAGCACAACACCGCTAGCGCTTAAGAAGTCAAGGTTTTGGAAGTTTCGCCATACTGAGGCATAACTGTCTTTGTTATTGATAGAAAAATTTGAATAATTGGTATGTTATAGATGAAGCTTTGGCCTACTTTTCCACAAAGAAACCATAAATAGAAAACAACGAGAAAATTTTTAATGATGATTTGTTTGCTAAAACGAACTTATTTTTTAGCCAACCTACTGATTGAGCTTGTAATACAATCAAACAGCACAACACCGCTAGCGCTTGAGAGGCAATACGTAAAATGAGGAACGTTAAGCCAATACCTCATACCCAGCTCTCCCATTTCTGCCCTCGTATTGAACCCTACCCCTTCCAATCAATTCCACCAAACCCTCCTATCGCACAATTTCTTTCACTCTCCCCACACTTCCATTAATCCTTTGCCTGCCCCAAAAATTACCTAAAAAACCATCAAGTAAGAAATAAGAAAAATAAAGTGATTAAATGAACAATTTATTAAGCTATGAAGCACAGAAAAGCCTAAGTTTGGCCAACTGTTAGCAGTATCCACGAAACAATATTTCAGTTGCATTCGTTGCTTCTATGAGCTCACTGATTTTGGCTTCCGCAATTACGCAATTTTATGAGAAGCCCATTCTACGATCCAACAAAAGAGTTGTTATTTATACAATCATATGTATTTTTGCACCGATTATCACGATGTTGTTGACAAGTAATGCTACGAAGTACATGGACATGGAAGGAAGATGGGTGCAACAATTATTTACACCTAAGTGCAATAACTCTCAGGCTGCTATTGTAAATTGCGACCTTCCCTTCTTCAAAACAAAAGTTACCACAGGTAAATCATTGCTCATAAATATTTATCTCTCACCTTTGCATTCAGATCAAGCAATCCGCATAAATAAGTTATTCTCATATGATGATGAAAGAAATCTTATAATTCCATCTTGCACTTACGATAAACCGCCAGGACCATGGGAATGGTGTCATTTTCCCTCATCAGTAAGATATACTTGTGCCTTGACGTTCAAGCCGTGAGATCTTTCGAAACTTCCTAAACCTGGGCTCATCACAATGACTAGCATTGATATCATTTCAATTCTTAGCAGTTTGTTCATTAAAATACTTTGAGGTTCTACTAAGTTACTAGTAAGGAAATGTAGAGTGCTGCGCGTAGTTTGAAAACTCACTACTGACTAAGTGGACCTTTATGCAACAGTCTTTACTACTTGATTCTCAGGTCAAACGACGCATAAGCTGTGAGATAATTTCTTTTTTTGTACAATCCTGATCTTGCTCTTTCTCGCTACCAACCCCTGAAGGCACCGGACCGAAGCAGAAGTAGTGAGATTACAATGCTGTAATGGTATAGTAATAATAATAATAATAATAATAATATAATAATATAATAATAATGTAATATAGTATTCTACTATACAGCGCATAATGTAGGCTCCTAAAATAAGTTTTTAGCGCGCTTTTCCTGCTCGCTTCATTGGTTGTCATGATTGCAGTCGCAAGTCCTTAACACGCACTCAGGTATTTAGGCTATAATGAGCTGACCACTATCACTAGATCTATTGAATCCTGGAGTGTTTTCATGAAAAGGACTTCAAAGGCAGCGCGCCCTCAAAATGATGGATGCTGGGATTTTCTAGTGTTCCAATGTAGACCCTCCAGATAGTCTATCAGCGAAGTTGCGGAGCGAAAAAGCGCTTCTGGGAAGCCCAAAACCCGCTCCGGATTTTCCGGAGTCTTCCAGACCCCGCCCACTTCTTACATGTAGTTTGGAGCGAACGCCGACATGGGAGTTTCCAAACAAAAAGAGCTCATTTTTGCTATTCTCAAGAGCTGAGAAGCTCAGATATGGCTTCAGCATAGCGAGAAGGTTCCGAAGAGGTGAAAAACCGGGGAGCGAATTTTTGCCGGGGTACTGCCTTCAAAGCTGTTGAGCGATGTCTGTGTTTTACTGGTCTTACAGAGGTCACGAGGAAAACAATGTGGCAGAGAAGATTACCATGACCCAGAAATGCTGGATCAGTAGTAATCTCGATGGACCAAGTGATCTAAAGAACAAGAAGATTGCTGAAATGTTACAAATCTCTGTAATCTGCCTAAACTATAGCTACAAAGCGGTGCTTTTCACCTTTTTTTGAGCTTCAAATCTTTGATTTTGGTAGGTTCCTGAAGTTGATTTGTTAGAATGATCCATAAGCCCTGATCATGTCCCATTAAGTGAGATTTACTATTGGTGATCTTTATCCTGCAGAATTTATTAGAAAATTTGTTTGATAAAAATAGATCCAGATGCGATAATGATGTGATTACTGCCCAAAATGGGTAAACGTTGATTTTCTAATATTAAGAATTCCACAGTGAAACAGAAGCTGCTTATACTGGGTAATAGCTATGCTGCAAATCAGGGCAAGGTAATTTACGATGCATGTGCGAGGAACAATATTGATGCTGCTGTCTATACAAAGCCTGGTAAGCTTTTATGTAAACCTGAGGTTAAATGGTGTGTGTGATTGAGGGCTAGTGTCTAGTGTATGTTGGGATTTTAACCTTGTTAACTGGGCACACGAACAGATTGAGAACAAGAGATTTTATTTGTATGGCAAAACAAACAAACAACAACGGCCCCAAGGCCAGCAACGAACAAAAACAACAAAAACACACGAAATTGGGAGGTGTTCCGGCCCTCTAGCTGGGCTTCACATGGTTACGTCTGGATCTGAATTCTCAGTGAGTTCTCACGTGGGAAGGTCTGGCTCTCTCCTGATCAGCTTTCGACTTCTGCGAGCCTCTTCTGCGTGCAGCTCCTCGTTTACTTCCCCTTGCTCCCTATGCCCTGCTGAGAGGAACAAATTGCCTCTTCTTCCCGCCAACTCCGTATTGATGATCTCCAGTCGCATCTTCCAATATATGAGGCGTGCAATAACTTCGTTATGTTACCCTTTCTTTTCTCATTCATCGGCACAGGTGGCAACCATTATCAAGCTATCGTTAGTGAGTAAAAAGCACAGACGATATCGTTTTGCAGGGTCATCAGATGAGAACTGAGTCTTCATGTTTCAATTAGCTTTTATGTTGAGATGGTTGAACTCACGCCTATCAAACAAAATTTTGCCAACCACCTCTTACTCCCCTCTCGGACAGAACTTTTCCTACCGCCTCCACCACGTAATCCATGCTGAGATGCAACCCCTGTCCCCTGATTTCACATCTTCCCCTTCATTTCATCTCCTTAAACGTTATTCGTCTTCCGATTCTCTACGTCTGTGCAAGTGATGCATTTGACGTGTCCGAAGTAACAAAGACTTGTTTACAGCGAACAGGCAATGTTGACAATTTGGTAAGCACAGCGCTAGCAGATTTGAAACAGTGTTAAGTGGCTCTGAGCCAACGCGAGCATCTGAGATGGTTCAAAAAAAAAACAAAGACAAATTTTTCCCAAGCTTTGCTTCTATTTGTTGATAATCTCGGACGAGGCAACTGCGCATTTTTCCCTTTCTTTCGTTTTCTGATCCTTTTCTATATACATAGCTTTCATCTACATTCTGAATATCAAACCCTAATTAAACGCCACCTCCTTCTCTTCGCCTAGTTACAGTCCCCAAGTAAAGTGCGGTTCATAATTATACGAACACCCAAAATTTTGTAAGTTTTCGCACTTTTTGGGATAAACTCAAAAAGCCGTTGGTATCACGCGAAAGAGCACAACCGAAAGCGGTATATGACCCTTAAGAATGGAGATTGATGTCAATCTTAGGAGTGTTTTTGCGCCTAATGCGAATTTTTAGCGGTTCATAATTATACGAACACCTCAAACAAAGGTCCATTTTTCATTCAGGATTGCAATCATTTGAGTCAAATTTTTTGTAGAGTTACAGTAATAAAGTCTGAAACACCTGCTACACACTGAACCCAGTGAAGTTTAAAAAAAAGGACCGTTATTTTTTTCAGAAGGCTCTAAATGCTTTTGGAGTGATTTCGCTCCAAAAACATCTGCTCTTCTGTGGCTTACGCGCTCTAATTAGCTTCTACCAAAGCTATGAGATAAAATAAGCCTCCTTTGATAGGTATTTTGTTTGGCGCTCCGAAAATCTTTGCATTTTTGTGCCGTTTTTCAATCAAGTTCCATCCTAACCCTAAAGTTAGCACGATTTCGAGCCTCAAAACTCGCTTCTAAAGCCGTACAATGAAGTAAGCATATAGTATGTAGAAGTTCACAGGACTGTATGTTTGGCTAGAAAAAATCAGCAGCGTTGAGCGTTTGTTTTAACCACGCAGACGTCATTTCACCAAAAACACTGTTTTTACTATTGCAATCACACCTCTATTTGGTTTGCAGCTCCGCAGCCTCAAGATCAGTCCTACAAAAAACCCAAAAACTTTGGCACAGAAACATCATCATGCAAGCAATGCAGCTGCTTCATATCAAATATTTGCGCAAGACAGAAGCTGAGTTTTGAGGCTCGAAATCGTGCTGACTCTGTGTTAAGGTTGGAACTTGATTGAAAAACGGCACAAAAATGCAAAGATTTTCGGAGCGCCAATCAAAATATCTATCAAAGGAGGCTTATTTTATCTCATAGCTTTGTTAGAAGCTAATTAGAGCGCGTAAACCACAGAAGAACGGATGTTTTTGGAGCGCAATCACTCCAAAAGCATTTAGAGCCTTCTGAAAAAAATAACGGTCCTTTTTTTAAACTTCACTGGATTCAGTGTGTAGCAGGTGTTTCAGACTTATTACTGTAACTCTACAAAAAATTTGGACTCAAATGATTGCACCGCGGATGAGAAATGGACCTTTGTTTGAGGTGTTCGTATAATTATGAACCGCTAAAAATTCGCATTAGGCGCAAAAACACTCCTAAGATTGACATCAATTTCCATTCTTAAGGGTCATATACCGTTTTCGGTTGTGCTCTTTCGCGTGGTACCAACGGCTTTCTGAGTTTCTCCCAAAAAGTCCGAAAACTTACAAAATTTTGGGTGTTCGTATAAATATGAACCGCACTTTAGTCTGAATGGTGGCAGCTTTATCCAAACGCGTTTGGTGCGCGGCGGACACTGCATGCCGCCAACGTGTCCAAGCCGCCAGAATACCGAAAGTTATCGGTTTTGTTAAATTCTATTTGGTGCCTTTTTCTTTCTGTCTTGTTCTTTATTCTTGAACTCTTTTTTCGTCATGGGCACCGCATAGAGAATGCTGTGCTTTTTGGCGAAGTCAAGGGAGACATTGTTGAATTTCTAGAACCGTCTAGTGCCAAGATCTCCTCTGCTTCCCCTTTAATCCTACGAATTATCATTAGATGGCTTAATTCAAACACCAGAAATAACAGTACTAAAGACATAAAAAGAACCTTGAGTTGGCAGTAGCCCTGTATATCGAAAATAATGAGAAATCAATTTCAAGGCAATATTCTGTGATATCTCACAAGGATATACGATGTGGAACTAACGAAAAATGCATTTAGTGTGTGAATCTTTGGTCGATCACAAGGAAAAATGGGCTTGCAAAGGTCTTCACAAAGATTTCAGCAAAGCAGTTGCAGACTATAAACCTGACATTCTTTTTCTGTTGTTCAGGTTGGTATTAACGCACAAAACTTTCCGTAAGAAGTCGTTTGTGTTGTCTCGAGGCAATCAGCTGAGAATGTTTTCAGCCTGATTCTTTTTCCATAGTCTGATGAATAGTCGCTAGCGCAACTGGAAACGATGATTATGACAAACAAGTTTTAGCTGACTTCTTAGTCTACCCTTGATTATATGGAGTGGGAGACTCCAAGAGAGTGAGACACTAAAATAACTGTAGCTTTCTCATAAAAAAAGAATTCGAGGGACGCTTAAATTTTGGTAGACGTCAGAATCATGCTCATACTATGATATACTCGTTCAAGCGGAATTTATATGAACCCATTTGCTTAGTAATTTTTATAAACGATAAAAGGCGAAGTTTATCATTTTGAGCAATCATGGACATAAAGCGCAGTAAAAACGCAGTAAAGATGTGTGGTCACCCAAACTGTCAGTGCTACACTTGGGTAAGGAATTATCACCAAATTCATCACATCTTCATAGTACCAGAATGTCAGGGGATATAGTCATGGGCTTTCGAGCAGGAATACTTGTTGCTCACTTTTTGTATAGAAACTTTTTCGGCCACCATATAAAAGTTTTCCGAGCTCTATTCGCTCATACACAACTTACCCTGTTTTCTTCTACCTTTGGAAATTAAAAACTAAAAAACGAATTTCTTGAATTCTTGAGAGAAAACAACGCATGTTCTCAGCTTTTTATTTTTTCATGTAAAAATTCGAAACGCATGAATAATTTGTTTGAAGGAGCCTAAAAAGCTTTTAAACGCTTTACTACCTGCTCAATGAGTTTGACCGCGCAACTGCAACAGGTGTCCAAAAAATTAGTTCGACTTCTTTGAGGTACTGTTTCAAGCACTTTGAGAGGAGAGCAATGGCATGCCCATAATGATTGGGTCATTTATATAAGTAAATTTTTTAGCTTCTGCTTGGCTGCTGATCCTAGAACTTTCCAAACAAAACTCGGAACAAAGCTCGGCACGAGCTGGCACCAGGAAACTTTCGATACAAAGTCTTTGATCTTGAAAATGTTGTACGAAGTCCCCCTTGACCCTAAACCCTAAACGTAAAAACCCTCAGAAATTTCGAGTGAAAAACATCACTTCGGCAAACGATATCCCCTTCGCTTCCTGTCCCAAAAACGGTATCCAGCGATCACTGTAATAGTCAACCATTAAAAAACCATTTGAAGCTGAGTAGCTTAATATTCGGAAGCTTCGAAGTTCGTTGAAACTTGGTCCACATGTGTCAAGAAATACATTTGCTATGTTCAGGAACGCTTCTTCTTGTTAAGGGTAGGTGTACGTGCGAAAGGTCACTCTCGTATGCTCGTGTTTCGCATAGGGTAATTTGACATAAGAGCGATTTATGTGATCATTGTCACCAACGTCAAATTACTATCCCGCCACATTTCTGAACCTCTAAACGACCCATTAACCAAAATCAGCGAGCGGACTGCCCCACCCCATTCTTTTCCCCTTATGACGGCAAAGTAAGGCTTGCACAGTTGTTCATTGATACAGAAAACAATCTAATATATTTAGACATCTCACCTGGATGGATACGCCAAAAACAGCAATCCCTGATCCGCTTGTGGAAAACGCTGTACCCATTCTCAGAAATTTGGAAGAGCATGTTAATCTCCACGTTTTCGTTCTAAATGCACTCCCACGACCGCGCAACGGCTATCAAGAGACCTATCATGCCATTCTCCGTGCAAACAAGTCGATGGATCAGGTCAGCTGAGAAGAGATCTTTAACATCAGGGTTGGGCACGGGTGAAGCAGGCAAACTAACGTTTTGGAGGAAAAAGCAAAGAGTGCTCGAACACAGGCAAACAGTTGAATTAATGGTCCCCCAAACTATGTTTTGATCTCAAAAACGCTTCAGATGCTTATATTCAGTAAAAGAAACGACAAAAAGCTAAAGAAAAATGTTGAGACGTATAATTTTACCTTTTTGCAGATGCGCCCGGGCAAGACTGGAATGATAACATCGCAGGTGTTCATTGCTTTTGCGAAGGAAATATATTGATGACTTTTATCTTTCGTCTTTCCAGTTTTTTCTTCACTTCACAAAAAATCCAAGCGTGCAACGTTAACGCGATCGCGGTGAATTACTGGCTTCATACCATCTTCTTGAATTCCAGCACAAGTCTATCGAAATCTAGCAAAGTTGATATATAGACTCAAGTCTAAGTCTTCGATTACTCCCCCCCCCCCCCCGCTCAGCCCTTCAGCCTGCGCCAGCTGCACTGGTTCAGGCTACAAACTGGCAGTCACAAATTGAAGCGGCGATGCGAGCGTTGCGTGCGACGTCGTAAGTTTCTTTCGGCTTGGAGAAGGCTGGTGAGTCGAAGTGGCTTTTTCAGCTAAGATGTATACTACCTCGCATAAAATGCTGAGTTCTTTTCTGCCTTTGTTATCTGCTGCGAGTTTCTGAGCGAAAAGTTATGACGGCCTTCGGGAGCAGAAACTGAGAACGCAAATACGACAGTCAATGTGTGGCCGGAGGGGTTCGGGCTGCATCAAAACGGCACGAGTTATGCGAGATCGCACCTGCGGCAATGATTGGCGGTGCGGCGTGACGCGTGCGAGCATTGCTAGGCGGTAAAGAACATCGCCGCGTCCACGCGCCGTCGCAAGTTATACCAGCGCGGGATCTATTTGGGGACTTGGTATCGTGCGGCAGTCGACTTTAGGCTATTTTCATACTGTTCCGGAACTGTGCTAAAAGTAACTAAAACTATGCTGAAACTGTGCTGCATGCACTGCAGCCGCCCGCATGCGCTTTTGAGCGGCAGAAGCTGGAGATTTTTAACTGTTTTTAACGGTCTCATTCTTCAACTCCGCTTCCCCTTCTGGTGGAAAAACACTCGGTTTTATAGACTGGTTGGAGAATGAGCGCAGTTTTGCTTGTAAGTACTCCAGATGTGTCGTTCTGTCCTCATCCATTTTCCCTTCGTTATATTGGTTCAGACCTACTCGACTCGTACCAGATAGCCGCTTTTTTTGCACATTCACCTATCCTGAGCTCAGGCATGTCAACAATTTTTGAGATGCGAAAAATCGGAACATTTTTTTGGTTTGCCTCTGTTATCTTTTTAGGCATCTTAGGGGAAGTCCGTTTGGTCGAAATGGCCTTTTTACATGTAACTGAAACGACTATAAAGAGCGTCGAACGCTGATTCCAAATCTGTCTTCGTTGTCTGCCGAGCTCCTCTGAACAGTTATGAGCGTTTTTTGAGTTGAAAAATTGAATGCATAATTAGCACAAGATTCGTCAGAACTGCTTGAATGGTCCGATGTTGATTATGTTACAGCACTCCATTACGACAATGCCTTCTGCCCAAAACACTTTTACTTAACATTGTTCTATTTCAGCGCTGAAAAGACCGAAGAATTTGATTTTACCTAGATTATACGTTCATTATTCGCATCAAAAAATATTCATAACTCCGCATGCAGAGGCGCTCGGCAGATAATGAAAGCAGATTTGGAGTCACCGTTTGATGTTCTTCAAAGTGGTCTAAAACTCATTCAAAAAGGCCACTTCGACTAATCGGACCTCCCTTGTCAGTCCCTTTCCTTTTCCACATATTGCTTATCCGTTCTTCTTACCTCTTTTTTCTGATGAGAGAAGCTGCGGACTTTAGGCGAAGTTGAGGATAGAACGCTCTTCTGCTCCATGTAATCAGGTGGGTCTTTCTTGTACAGACCTACTTCTTGTGTTTTGGAAAGCTGTTTATGTCCCTCCAGAACAGATGCGCAACTACGCGGCTTTCTGGACATGAAGCAGATCTGAACAAAAATAACGAATAGTGAGTGGAGGAGTGCACGAAGACATATCTTCCCGCATCAGTCGAATCATTTCATATGATCATGTGGGCACCCGCACAACACCGTCCATCTTTGGCGTCCTCATCCTGGATTTGCGATCGCCATTACGCAGAAAACTGACAGGTTGCTATCGCTTATATCACTTTGAGGTGAATAGTACCTAAAAGGGAAACACCTTGAAAACACTTCGAAAACACCTGCATAAAGGGTTGCCGTTCCAAGAATCCAGGATGAGGACGGCAAAGTTGGACGGTGCGTGCAATGTCACACATGATCGTACGAAATGATTCGACTGTACACGCAAGCAGAACGGCGCTCATTCTCCAATTCCGCTTCAAGGTCGAGGCTATTTTCATCAAAAAAGGAAGCGGAGAAAAAGAATGAGACGAAATGAGTGAAATCTGAGAGAAAACCCCCGTTAAACTGGTCAAAAATCTCCAACTCCCGCCGCTTAAAACCGTGTGCGGGCGGCTGCAGCGCCAGCACACTTCCGGCACAGTTCCAGCACATTGCGGGAGCTGTGCTGGAACTGTTTCGGGACATTCGGAACAATATACCCAACCTAATGGTTAGCGTGACGCTTTCAGAAACAAATGGTGCCAGGTTCGAATCCCCCTTACCCTATTCCTTTTGCATTTTTGCAAAAAAATTGTGCTAACGTAAGTTTCGTCTGTACGCAATCTTTTACTTTTTTATTGCGATCTCATTTGCTGGAAGAATGCGTTTAATTACCAAATTCTTCATAAGTTGTGGAGATAAGCGGCTGAGACATTATGAACACTAATGAAAGTCAATGTGTGCGTATCTTGCCATGATGCCAAATTTGTACGTATCAGATTTTTGTTGACCTTTTTTTGTTCCACAATCCTTGCATGAATAGTCGAGAGCACAATGTTTTATTGCAAGAACGCAAAACCTAGTTTAAAGGATGAGTCAAATGTGTGAGCAACTCCATCCAAACCATCGCACTAACCGTTACAACACTGGGGCACAATGAAGTGTAGCTCTCAATCGCATTAGTGCGCGATTGCCCTCCTGCTCCTAAAATTCCTCATAACTCCTCGTCCAGAGCAGGTGAAAAATGCAGATTTTTATTCAGCGTTCCAGGCATCGCATGGCAATGTACATCTCATCTCAAAACGCCACCTCGATTGACCATTCTTCCCTTGTTCGTTTGTGGGAGAAAGGTGATTCTGTAGCTGTGTAATATACGTGCGTCATGTGTAGACTTACTCAACTTACAACTGGCATTGCTTCTGTTGTCCTAAAAATACTGCTCATTTGTCAGATGCACAAACTTCCAGGTTTGAATTTGGCTAATTTTTGTATAGAGGGATTATTAGACCTCTGATTATGGACACTGAAGAAAAGGCCTTCTCAAGTAGAGTTGAACTATGCTGTATTCCGTCGTCGAGGTCGAGGTCCGAAGCGTGTAGAGAGCAGCAGCAAGCACTCAGACAGTCGACGGCATACTCCCGGAGCAATAATGGGGGGGGGGGGGGGTCGCGGGCTCTGCCCCTGCCGCGGCATACTGTAACTAGCCCTAATTGAGCTCCAAACCCCAATCATGTCCCTAAACCCCACCCAAATTAGCTCTAGACCAGGGTCAAGCAAACGGTGTGGCATACGATCGCCGAATATGACCCCTCCCCCTCCCCCCCCCCCCCTCCCCCCGAGGATTAGCGCAACCCTCAACCCCGTTCTCTACCCCTCCCTCTCATCCCTAGCGTTTGTAGATAGCAAGATAGAAGATTGAAGACAAGACGAGGCATTTATTTCAAATTAACTGCAGAACAATTTACTGCAAATTGCAAATGCCCTTCACTTCGATGTCCAAAATGGCACCACCGGAGTCATTCAGACCGATGAGTGGCGATCCCACTATCATAGCCTTCTAGAAACTTTCTTTCAGATATGTCTAACCACAAGATCTTAATCTACCTCATGATCTTGCAAATCTTTAAGCATGGATCATTGACCGGGAACCATCAAAAACTGTGAAATCCTGAAAGAATACGTGCACGTTACACAAGAAAATTGGTTAATAACAACAAAATTGGTGTGATAAAAATTGGCTGCGGAACATTCTAGTCTACGGCAGCAGTTTCGGATTTTTTGGAAAACAGGAAAATTCCGGAAGAGTCTCGCGAGAACTTCACCCAAATGATGTAAATGAAAGTTAGTTGCAAGACCCATTGCGATATTTTTTTAGAACACCTAAAATCGACAACTTTATGTACGAGAACCTATTTGTTGATGAAGATGATTGATAAGCACTAACCATGCATCGTCCAACTCGTGTTACTTTCTCCAGGATGAACCCGAGAGCTCGAGAAATACTATATCCCTGCAATCAAGGATCTTTTATATTTATTTACTTTTTATTTGTTTATTTACTTATTTATTTAGTATTTTGAAATCAAGGATTTTTTTATAAAAGGCAAAACAGTTCTAAACGTCTATTACAGCATTTTGGTAGTTTTTAGCAATGATTCAAAGAAAACATGCTTTTCGTATTGTTTCCGCCATGCAAATTTAGCCGGGAAAGAATATAAATGATAGCTTGAAGTACCTCGCTGCTGATTGTTTCGTCGCATAGATGACTAGCTGGCATACCGTTCGCGGCAAATGGCTCAACACTAAAGGTTCAGCTTATCCGCTCGGCTTCCTTCTGTTTCACCCGTAACACACAACAGATACCTGATGATAGCATTGCCGTGAATACAGTATTTCCAGCATTATGCAATGAAAATAAGTTTTACCGCTATTATTTACACAAAAAAGAAGCGTTTTGACAGTATTTGATAAGAACTCTTATTCAAAATCGATAAATCAATAGAAGTAGTGGGGTTTTCGCCGCGAAACGTAGCCTACAAGGTGGATCGGTGTGAAAGCATTTCTGTACAAGTTTGGCGGTGATCGGTCAACACACAAAAGTTTTCATAAAGAACACACTAACAACAATTTACTAACACTCAGCTTTATGTATGTATAGATATTATAGATAGCAGTGGCGCTCCCAGGATTTCCGTCAGGGGGGAGAGCGGCAAAAATGTTTCTCTAATGAAGGTGCGTGGCATTAGCCACGCACTCCGAAAAATTTTTTTAGAGTGCTTTTCAAAACTTTTTCGGGCCCTCTAAAGTCTGGAAAAAGGGGATGTGGCGGCAGGCACGACTTCGAGAAAAAATTTTTACAGAGCTAATTTGAATTTTTAGGAATTTTTAAAAAATTACTTTAATTATTTACAAGAATAAACATGTCACTCGCACATTTTTATAACCCATGTGAGTGTATTTCAAAGATTTCGAGACTCATTTTCGGGGGTAGGGGCCCTCCCTCGCCCCCCCCCCCCCTCCCATCCCTCGGACCGCCACTGGTAGATGGATAGAGCCATACCCCACTTCTCGTTGTGGGAAATCCTAATGTTTTTATTAAACACAGAATGTCATTTTCATGTTGTTAAAGCTCATCATGAAACAGTTGACTAAAACGGGATCGTTATCGAATAAGAACAGACTGAATAGGTAGACTAAATAGACTCTTTGTCGAACCTTCAAAATTGTGTATGACATGTCAATTTTTTGACACGTAGCAGAGATTGACTCTCCATGGTAATGAAGTTCTCACCGAAAATTGGTACAAGAAAAGAAGCAATACCGTTAGATGGCGCGGATCACCGACTTACCGATCTTCAGTGGGGAGAATAAGGGAGGTCGATTCGACCTTTCAGCAGGATAAATGCCAGTGGAGAGCGGGGACCAGCGAAAGCGGGACGTGAGCGCTTTCGGGAGTTGCAGAGAGCCGTCAAAGAGCCCCCCCCCCCCCTTTAAATAGAGATAGCCTAAAGAACCCTGCTGAGAGGGCAAATCGGGTAGGAGCCTGTTGTTGTACATAGCCATACCCGTTGTTATAGTTCTTGTTGTTGTTAGTTTTGTGCCATTTGGATAAATTCTTGTACTCAAACGTGTTTCTCCATCGATCAGGTTACACTGGGACTTACCGCTACACCCCCCCCCCCCTCCCCCGGTTACAATATCCTTTTTTTTTTTGAAAAATGGTCCGAATACTGGAAAAGTACCATTTTTTCAGCACGATAGAGGGTTACTTGTCTACAAAAATTTCTAACGTGTTCGAGCTGGTCAAGCTTTAAGAACGAAAATAGTGCTTCCTGTACTCTCGTGAAATATGAAAGTTCCTCCAACAAGCCTAATTTTAGAGTCTGCTCTACAATACGACAACGCACTATGAGGCAGCACGTTGGCGAATCGAACAGCTAGCTAAGAATTGTCAAAAGTGCAGTGTGATCGATTACACACCATTGTTCACATTCAATGGCACCTTCAACTTTGTGGATGAGAGAACAAAGGTTGCTTACATGAACGATGCAAAGCACTTCACGCCTCTTGGCTTGTATTATCTGCAAAAGCTTTACAAGGATATGTGTGACAAGATTGATTGGTGATGGATAATTTAAATCACACTTCACTTTTTTAGATTTTAGCTCAATGTCAATGTCAAGTCAGTCTATTTGTTTGATATTTGTAAGTCCCTATGTGTTAGGTTGTGTAGCCTGCTGTTCATCGGTTGGCATGGAAATGTGAAATGAATTCAATGAAAAGCCTCGCGTTGTTCAATGTGTTATTATTATTCCGCACCATCAACGTACAATTTCATCATAACCAATTTGAATACCACAGAATAAATCCATTATGATCACGTACTCTGATTTAATCTGTCCTGTTATGAGCAAATGCTGGTGACACTCAGTTGGAAATTTCGCTTTCTCTGCTAGCCCTACAATATTCTAAGCTTTGGGTGTCCATACAATGAGGCATTTTCTCAATAAGCAACATTATGAACACTAAGTACGCATTGTTGTTTTGTCCATATGATAACATCGTTATCCTATTGAAAGATTGAGGCTGTTATGATAAAAGCTTTCTAATAGCTCTTTTTTGTTGTTCCAAAGTGATTGGCATTCTTTCTCTGTTTTCTCTGTTTTGCTATAATTGATAATACATAGGCCATTCTTGAAACAGTGACAACAAGTCTGACTGCGGTTCCTGCGCACACAGGAGCATAAAACACCCATACAATAAGGCATCACCTCAATCAGTCACTTCCAGTGTCCGAATAATATCATATGTAAGCAGAAAAACTTTTCGAGTAGAGACCAGATGCGGTTGCTGGAAATGCGTGCGTGTCGCGCTCGGTCGCGCCGACACGATTTTTCGAATGCTCTATAATTGCTTCCTAAATCCCCGCGCGTCGCGCCATCGTCGCGATTTTTCAAATGCCCTATAACTACTTTCTTAATCCTATCGAAGAATTTTGCGATCAAATACGTAAGCTTTTCTAACTCGAGATTTAGAGGTGAAATTATAATTTCATCTTTTCAACAAACATTCTCCTACCTCCCCTAGGTATTTACAGAAGCAATGCAAAATGTGCTTTGGGCACAAGGATCATGCAAGGCAAAAATTGGGCTTCATTTTATGGCACTGGCAAACATCTATCTCAAAAAAAGAGAAGAAGAAAGTTAGTTCAAAACTTTGTATAAAGGTCCGTCTCAATGGAAAAAGAGGTTGACAAGCAGATTACGATGCCATTTTTGTGCAATGTTACAAATTTTTTACCATGCAGATTATTGACAAGAATTCAAGAACTCGGTATGTTGTAATCTTGAAGTACGATGGGAGCGTTCCATCCACCCAAGTTCCATATTCTTGAATAAGACGTTTTCTTACGCAACCAAGTTAACTACCTTTTGACTAAGTGCTATCGTCTACTGTTTAGCTGGCTTTTCTTGCATGTAGGTCGCAAAATTTGGAAAATTTCAAGATGACAAAATTTCACTTTAGTTTCCTAAAAATGAAGCTTGATACGGAATAAAACACATTTGGTTTTTAGGATGATTCAAAATTCGTCAGAGTAAGCCAAAAACACGAAATTCCACTTTAGCTCCTAAAAATGGAGCTTGATACGGAAGACATTTGATTTCTAGGATGATTCTGGAACAAGAGATCCAAAAAACGAAGCCCAAAGCTATAAAAAAAAGTAAAAATAATCTAGTAATTTTGCGACAATTTCTAGTTACTTAAATTTTGAGAAGTAACTCTGAACAGCGCCTCCCTCGCATGGAACGCCATTCATCTCGAAGTCCGAAGAACTTTGCGTGCTAACTATGAAAATGACATTCACTAGAGGAGTCTTTCGATATGTTTGACTGGTAAAAAATTCGGCAGAAATTCAATATTGCAGTCTTGTTTCGACAAAGTAAGATTTGACAAAACTGTGGTATATGGTACGCCGACAGACTCTAATAGGAACTCAGCCATCAAGGAAATTACAAAAATAAAAATATTAGATTGATAAATCTTCACGTGTGTTGGGCTGCCGGAAAGTCTTGATTGTATTATAAAAGTGCGATTGGTAGAAGCGCACTAAACGGCAGCCTATGGTAGGCTGAATCTTCTCCAGTTCACGCTATGATTGGCTGCTGCGCATCTCAAACACTTTTTATAGGGCTAATTCGAGGTTTGGCCATGATTGGCTGACGACCGTGCAAAACACTTTTTGGATGAAGAGCAGAAGTTAAGACATGCTTCAGTCCGTAATGAGTGACTGATTCGCTTGAAAAGCGGTACATACCGCTTCGAGCGGGGTCACCTAGTCTGGATAAACACTACCGTAGGATGAGACAGTCCCCCCTCCCCTACCCCTCCCTCCTCCCCCCCCCCTTCAGAATGGGTCGCGAAACTTCTAAAAGTTACTTGTAGAGCTACAACAATGTGGAAGTACTTGCCTATACTCGTAAGCAAATAAAATAGTTAGAATTTGAAAAAAAATAAAAATTGGGCTAGGACTTCGAAAATTTTAAAAGCATCCCAAACAAATTTTCAGAGTACGTGGGACCCCCCCCCTGCGATCACTGCGCCTTCTCCGACATATTATTTGATCAGCCATAGTTGACCGAATAAGAATGTTTGTGTTCGGATGCTAAGACGATAAGATATGATATGCTTATTCAAAAAGACGGCAACAGCGTCCGCAAGGGCGCCCTTTCTCCGCGTGCGATAACTCGTCCAGGTTTCTGAGGAGCTCAGAGATAACGCGAAATATGATAAATTAAAAGAAGACGGAAGTTCTGTTCAAGCTTCGCGCGTTTCTATAACTCAGCTATACAGGATGTCCTACACAAATACACACTTTTTTATCGTAAACAACTCTCTTTCCGTAAGTCTTTTGCTTAGCTTAGTATCATCCAGTAGAGCAGGTTTCAATTCAGATATACGGTATAGCGCAAAACACCTATCTCTCTTTATTACTGTAGGATTACGGTAGAAACTTCCAGCATACAGCGCCATTGTGAAAGAGGCCGTTAAAGAAAAAAGCTTTGAATCTAGAAATTTGCGCAGCATGTTGATTTCGTAAGACAACTTTTTGTGAGTTTTTGAAACGTTTCAAATGGTTTGGCACATTGCTGAAATAACGCTGAAAAAACTTTTTTGCGGTTTGATTAGCAAAACTCATGAAAAGGGCTTTGACTAAACCTTTGATTCAACTCTATTGGCGGCTGGAAGGCAACCGCCCGCACCCACGACGCAGTCTGCGTCTCTCCTGCGAGCGTGCTCTGATCATTCTCACTAGCCATGATTAGGCCTTGAAGCCCCGCCTTCTATCCGCCTAAAGGGCCGAGCATACTTCACGCGATTTCAGTCGCGACGAGGTTTGGCAATTCGCCAGAAGTCTTCAGATGCAACATTAGCAAACTTCACATGCATAGTTTGTATAACTGACATGGATTAATGAAATGTCCTATCTTATATACAAAGCTGAATGTCTATCTGTATATCTGTATGTCTGTACGTATGTGCGGAATAGAAATTTTTATTTCTGAACCGATTTGGACCAAACTTGGCACACATACACTTCAGGGCAGGGAGCGTGTCATAGGCTACTTTTCGTCATCGATCGATATCGATTTTATCGATGTTTATCGATTTTTTTGCTGAGTTCACCTACGGGGCTGGGAGTTTGCACAGGGGGGGGGTAATCGAGCATGGGTATTCCGAATACAATATTAGTTTTCAGGATTATCGATTACTATTATCGATTTTATCGATTTTTTGTAAAGTTTGAGCTACGGGGCTGGGAGTTTGCACAGGGGGGTAATCGAGCATGCTGATCACGAATACAATATTAGTTTTCAAAATCGTCCATTACTTTTATCGATTTTGTCGATTTTTTGCAAAGTTTGAGCTACAGGGCTGGGAGCTGGCACAGGGGGGGGGGGGGGTAAGTGGGCATGCTGATTTCGAAAACAACACAGGGAACGGGAAATGAAGTGTAGAAGTGGGCACAGGGAAAGGCTGTGCAGGGATAGGGATGGGACCTTTATTACAGTGTTTTGACAGGCCCGAGCGGAGCCGGGTAAGCAAGCTAGTCTTCTGTACATTTGAAATATGCTTACAGTGATTTGTGGACAGTTGGAATATTGCCAAATCGCGTCGCGACTGAAATTGCGTGAAATATGCCCTGCCCTTAACCCGATGAATCAAAGGGTATATGAAGAAGTGTGTTGCTATCAAGTCTTGACAATTTTCATAGGTTTGACATGTTCCACATTTATTCGACAAGACAGGACATGTGAGTTGCCAGAGTTCATTCAGTCCATTGCACATTTTGAGGTCTTACAAGCGTCAGAATCGGTGAGCTGCGTATCAACTCCAGTGCAAAGCTGGCGAGAGGTTCGTCATCGCTTTGTTTGTGACAACAGGTATCTATTTTACTTATAGGAGCGCGTTCAAGAAGAAGAATATCTAGCAACCGCGGCAATTTTCAGTTGTTACGAAAGTCAGATTACTTTGCAAGTGAGTCCATCGTATTCCGGGAATGCGAGAAATTTGGATTGTTTAGTATCTCATCAGATTGTTGTACTCCAAAACAATCTCTAACCTAAACGTGAACATTGTTCCTCTTCTAATTGATCTCTCCAGCCAACGCCATGACTGTCAACAAAAATTAAATTTGGCCTCGCTGTCGTTAGAGTCTGATTTGGCTTAGGATGAACGGATAGGACGCATATGTACAGAATTCATGACACGCAAAGACTTACGTCCGACAAAATAGCTTGTTCAAGGATGAGACAGCAGATGGTAAGAGAAACAAATGAGCGACCAGAAAGACGCTAATACATCCGCAGTCTTTGCGTGCTACGAATCGCCTATACAGACAGATGAATTTTCCGCTTAATATAGTTGCTTGCAGTGCCGAGAAAATGCAGCAAAATTTGTGCGTGAATAAATAGCTGCCTCTGTAATGCAGGCCATTTGCGCGCGCAAATCCGCAACTGGCGTGGCCAATCGTCCACGCGCAAATTTTATCGCGTTTTTTCGGCATCGCAAGCACACTATATTAAGCGGAAAGCTACCTCACTGTATTTCAGTGACCTCACAGAGGCCATCTCCGGACGGTCATGGCGCAGGCGCGGGTTTTTGGTCACGAATTTCTCCGCCGTGGAGGAGCCATTTGCCCTGCCGCTTGCGCAGTGCCTTAGTTAGGACCCTCTTTATCAATTTCCAGGCGAAAAACCGGTGCGGTGCCCCCAGATTTGCCTGGACACGCGTTAGTACTGGCTGAAATGTGGTTTTCGACTCCTATCTTATCTTTCCGAACATTTCTCAATAGCAAGTCGCTAGACTTAGCATATACAGCCTGCTCCAATTGGGTTCAGGCCGAATCGCCGGCGCAAATTTCCGCGCTCGCAGCGCCAGCGGTCTGCGCTGCATATGCGCGCTGTCGGAGAAAGCAAAGCAAACGAATTGAAGAGAGAGCAGAGAAGCAGACCGTGGGCGTTACCGCGAAGACTTAGCGGCGCGGACTCCCGACATGCCAATTTTGGCCTCGTTGAGATTGGGGCAGACTATAAGACGGATTTGGTTATAGGCCGTCCGCGCAGGGCGCGGAGAGTGCGCAAGGTGTGTATTGCGCGTCACTCCTCTTTCTCGTGCACTCTCGCCGCCTGTTTTTCTCTGCGCTTCTTCCAGTCGTAAACTGCCTTCAATCTACGCAACAGCGTTGCTCTCCGTGCGCAGCGCGGACGCCTATAACAAGTACTTTCCGGAAAAGTGCACATCCCCTAGGATTTTAGTAAGTTCCATGTGACGAAGAATGTCCATTTCTGAATTTTGGGTCAATTTCGCATCCACAGTTGCTGAGAATCTGTGAGCAGGTCGAATATGTCCCAGCAGTTGAGCTAGTAGACGTTCATATATTGCATCCATGGTACCGACAGCACTTGCACGTTAAAAACAGTGCCCAGGCAAATCTGGATTTATGGGAATTCAAGGAGAGTATTTTTGGGGCCCTGACGAAGGCATTGCCCGAGCGGCAGCGCAAATGACTCACTAGTGGCTGAGATACACGCCTCCAAACTAGACCCCAGGATCGTATTTCTCATGGATTCATGGCGCAACCCACCAGTTTCGCGCGAGGACCCACGGGTTGCACCATGAATCCATGCGAAATACTATCCTGGGGTCCAGTTTGGAGGCGAATATCTCAGCCGCTAGAACACCATCTGAGCTGCCAGTTGGGTAGTGTCTTAGTCAGGGTCCCAAAATTACTGTCCGCGTGAGATCCCCATATGTCCACATTTGCCTGGACGCTGCCTCTAAGAAATCGCCATACATGCTTTGCCGCCGCACAAATAATTGTGAAGCAAAGCGTAGATACATTTTTGAGTTCTGCGTTCGCGCGGATGTCTTCCAGAGGTGTTCTCAGGTGATTTAAACCATCAAATCTACTAGCTTATCATTCTGTTGTCCAGCATTCCAGAAGGGTTTATGATTTTTCATGCCCTTACGCCTTTCGCGCTTTGGCGCATTTTTCACTGACACCGAAAAAGGACGATCGCAATCTCCATCGAGCGATTTTATTGTCTTGATTTCAAAAGATCTATGCTCAGTATTGACATGGCAATAACACGTCTCTAGATTGCTTGCACAGATTATTGTTCCCTTGTATTCGATGGAATCGAGGGAACTCATTTTCCAAACGTCGGCCAATCATGAGCTAGTCTCGAATAGAAATCAGCCGGTAGTTCATTGTTTTAGGTTAGAGGGGAATGTCCTGAAGACCACAATTGTGAGTAGGTTACCTAATGATTTTGTCAAGCTAGTCTCGAATAATAATATCTGAGTAAGTCTTGAAGGACCCTCGATGCGACAACGCATATGATATATTACGGTAGCGTCACCTTTGTGCAGTGCGTGGTTGCAAAATACGAATTGCCATCGATTTTTCCGCCTTTGTTGTTGGCATGCCGCACTCTACCGGCCTAAAATTTTGCAAATATTTGTGGCATACTCTCAACAGGTTTACTTGTTTTGGTTTCCTCTGAGTGTGAATTGTGGAAGTAGTTCCTTACGGCGTCATTCCTTGTGCAATCTTGTTCAAAATCCTCGGTTCAAGTAGCCACGCATATTTGCGGATTATGTGTACACTTCTCGGCTTGCCAATTCAAATTCTTATCAGTCAACATCTCTGTGTAAAAAAAGTTATTGATAGGTTCTTCATTCTGTTTTGCATCGTTCGTACCATCCTCTTATCTGTCTGATCCAAGTCCTTGGCCCCTTGTTATCGCATCTGTCGAACAACTGCTAGCCTGTATCCAGTATGATGCTAATGTAATGTGGCAAAGGTTGTCCTGTTCATTTCAAACTTTCCTCTGTGCAATCGCTATCTCCATCTCACAGCGTCTTTCACTCGTACCAGGACGAAATGTTTCATTTGTCGGAGACATCTCTGTCTTTTATCTCCTCGTCATACGCTGTCCGATGTGTCTGCTGTTCAGCAGACAATTCATTTTCTCAGTTCATGCGATGGTTGTAAGCGTTCAAGAGCATTTGAATCACTTTTCCTATCAGTTTCTTAGAAATGAAACGCGAACACACTGACGACGATCGCTATGGAAATTCGCGCAACTACAAAAGGCAGCGAGGCGATGGGTAAGAGTTTCGGCTTACAGCTCGATGAAGTTTCTCACGAGTACTGCATTTTAGTTTTTCTGAGGCTTTGGCTCAGGGGAAATTTGAGCTTCGCGTCTTAGTGAGCAGCAAATGTGCTGGAGCAATCATTGGCAAAGGTGGTGAAAATATCAAACGTCTACGTAACCAGGTACGTTATGCTTATTTCGAATTTGGTGGGTGTCGTGGTTTATGGAGTATTTCTTCCATAGATTATATCAGTGCCTAATCACATATGTATGTCCATAAAAGCATTCGAATAGAAGATGGATGCGCTGATTTTTCCATTTTGAAAATAGGAAACATTATGGCAGAAGAGGACCTTATTCGTAACTTTTCTTATCGCATACGATCGAATATGTTTGTTTGTTGATTAGTTGATTAGACGCTTGGAGGCGATAGCTCGGGAAATGGACCTTCGTTGAATAGTGGTATAGCAGATTCTTCAAGTGCGCCGTAGTTCCAGTCGCAGTTTCAGTTCTTGCGTTAAGTCCTAAATTGGTTTCTCAAAGTTCCATCATTAACGCTCTTCTAGCGATGGTGGACGGGGTGGCGATACTTTGAGGCGCGATTTCAGGCCCCGGACAGACTTCGCTCAGGGATCGTTCATACCGCGCACAAAGGCGGACGAAGCCGGACGAAGCCGGACAAAGGCGGACGAAGCCGGACGAAGGCGGACGAAGCCGGACAAAGGCGGACGAAGGCGCGTGTGAGTGTGTGTGCGTGTCGAGAGAAACGAGACGAGACGAGACCGCGCCTTCGTCCGCCTTTGTCCGGCTTTGTCCGGCTTCGTCCGCCTTTGTCCGGCTTCGTCCGTCTTCGTCCGCCTTTGTGCGCAGTATGAACGATCCCTCAAAAACGCCAATATTTCTCTAATGTCGCCTCACTTTTTCATGTGAGGAGAGATGAGAGAATTAGAGAAATTTGGGCGCTTTTGAGTGAAGTCTGGCCGGGGCCTCAGGATTTAGCGCGTGAAATTGGGATGCGGTATTTGTAAGGTCTGTTATCTGGGACCACAGAATATGACGAAGGTCCCTCCTGAGGTACCGTTTTTGAGGGATAGACTCATGGCGATGGTAACTGCTCGTGCATTTCCTTCGTCCTTCAGTGGACTACAAAAGAGTAGGCATGCAAATTCTTTGATCTGGTCTGCTGAAGGACGGAGGCGAAGAGCTGCACATAGATGATGAGAGATGCATATAACTGATTGTACCGATACTTTGCGGTCAAGTTTCTTTTTTGATTTCTTTTTGAGTCATTTGAAACAAGGACGATTCTACACAAAAGTACGGCATAGACAAAGATTTCCTGCTTCGACAGAGCTGTGGAGGAAATTTCCTTATTTGCACTGAGATGCAATAAAAATCGGTTGATAATGTCTACAGTACAAGTGTGAGGACACATTTATACTTCACTCATAATCACCCATTTTTAGTGCATTGATAAAGGTTTGAGTGGTACTCGTCACTTCTTTTCATTCACGCTCATTCTTCATTCGTAGCGATTGGCTCGATTTAAGATTTTCTTTTAATCGAATGCTTTTATGGACTCATTTATGTGATGTCCAGAAATCAGATACAAATACCTTTTTATCCCAGTAAAGGCATTTCTTGCACCAAAGATGAACTCGATACCTGAGATACCAACCGATATCGCCAGATTGCAGTAATTAATCTTGATCGACAGAACTTTTTCATGATCATGTAAACAAAGCGCTTGCTCCATTTAATCTGCTATCTATTTCTATCGACAAACAGATCTATCTAAATCGCACAAAAATCCCTAAGCTCAGTTGAAAACGCCTAAATTGTTATGATTAAGGTTAATTATTCAGATAGTGTTTGTGGCGTTGTGTTTAAGAAATGTTGAAGGAAGCAGCTTGCTACATGTTGCGTTAACCGTCCTCGTTTTCAGTTCGAAGGCCAGATCTCAGTTCCCGATTCCAACTCTCCCGAACGGTAATTCCCTATGCTACCCGTTCCCAATTGCTTGACAAACAACAATATGTTGTGCCCAAGAAAGATGACTTGTGAAATGTGATTCCGTGTGGTCATATGGGAAGAAAGAAAGATATCATCCGCTCCGTCGCCAGTACCTCTTCTCACCACAAACAAGAATGAATGACCCACCCGGGCCCTAAGTTTATTCCACCTTTTTCCCTAAATAAGTGATTACGCGGAATTTGCGAAGCAGAAATGAGGTCCTTGTCCAGTGAATATCTTCTCAACTGTTCATAGGTAAAAAAGCTTCAGACTTTCAGACACAGACTGGGGGTGACCAAGATAACTCTGGAAATTCAATTTTTAACGCGGAAAGCGGCCCGTTATGTCCAACCTATGGTAGGCGCCAGACTAGCCGATCGTCCTGCTTTAGCAGAACGCGGCCCAACTATCAAACTGATGTCATTTGGCGTCATGTTGGACGGAAATCGTAATGGCGGCGATGTTTGCAACCTCAGTAGTTTTAACCCATTGACGACGATGTGGACCACCGGTGGCCCACACTCTTTACAAAATCATACACTTTCTAGGCCTAGTATTTTTTCGACAGTTCAGTATTTTTTCCAGTTTTTTGCACTTTTGGAACCTGCAGACCTCTTTCCCCAAGAATATGATTGTAGCTGTTTTCAAAACCACTTTACTTTTCGCAGATAATCACAAAACTTTCCCATGCTGCAAATGTTGTGCAGAATCGCGTCGTCCCTCAGTGCCTCCACGCAAAATTAGGCGTCGTCGTCAATGGGTTAAAGAGATGATAAAAAACCTCGCAGTATGAGAATATGATAGAAAGGCCTTACCACCAAAAAATATCTTTTGTAGCAAAATCGTGGACACGGACTTGATTATCCTCCCACGTGACAACAAATAACAGTGACTGCGCCGGATCCTGCTGAAGCAGGACGATCATCTAGTCTGGCACCTATCCATCGGCTCTGAAGTCTGCAATAAGTCATCCTACTGCGCTGCATTAGCGTTACATATGTTAGCATAGGAGTTAAGTTGGTGCGTTATGTATCAGTGCTCGTACAAGTCTTTTACTGCCGCTTTATTCACTGGACAAGGATCTAACAATGACATGAAATTCCGTGTCGTTAATTATAATGCTCAGTGCGTACTATTTTGCCAACATTAGTTCCACAGTATCCCCATTCTCACAATAGAAATAAAGATAAATTGAAAAGATAATTACATATTTTAGATTTAGTTTAATTTCATGTTTTCTGGTCATGCTATGATCATATTTTTGTTTTTGTCAGGGTTTTGACGCTTGTATGCCAACCTTCACAGATTGTACGTGTTGTTGAGGACATACTGCCACGTATCGAGGATGTAAGTGATGTGTTCGTAGCAGTTTTACCTCATAAGAACTTTCCAATGACTTTTGTGCGGATATAATCTCATTTACGGTGTTCCTAATTTAAGACACAAAATGACAAGGACAAGTGCACTATCCGTTTGCTTGTTCATCAGTCTCACGCTGGTGCTTTGATTGGCCGACAAGGAGGAAAAATCAAGGAACTTCGTGACAGAACAAATGCTAGAATTAAGGTACACCCAAGCTTTGCAACTCCTAGCTGAGGTCTGTTCCATCTATATTAGGTATTCCAACAATGCTGCCCGCAGTCAACTGATCGGATTTGTATGCTTTCTGGAGATGATCGCAATGTTCTAGATGCAGTGGAGCAAATTGTTGAAGAACTGAAGCAAATCCCCATCAAGGTTTGTGATCAGATTGTAACTTGCTGGGTAGTCAAGATCCGAGTATTTTCTAGGGTCCTGTTAATCCGTATACCTCTTTCAACTATGATCCTGCTATGGCTCCAGACTACGGCGGCTTTTCTCCAACTTTCCCTACCTCAGGACGCGGTGGTCCCCCTATCAGCCCATTCTCAGGTATGTTACTGTTGAGGGTGGTATCAGGGACAGTTGAATGAGTGATTTTTAGGAGGTCCTCGACGCTCGCTTGGTGCACCTCTGCCGCCAATGCGTGGTGGTGGCGGTCTTGGTGGCCCAGATATGCGGTACGATCGCGGTCTAGGAAGAGATTATGATGCTGGTAAATTTCTTTTTTGATTTTTTCTCTTCCATTCATTCGCAATCAGGTCGAAAAGTGGATAACTTCTCAGGACCGTATGGTGCACCATTGGGCGGACCTCCTCAGTACGGCGGTGGCGGCGGACTATACGGTGGTTATCCTGGACAGAATGCAATCCAGACTACTCAGGTGAGCCTTCTGCAACAGTTCGTAATATCTTCATTATTACGAAGAAGGGGTACCCAGAGCAGTCTGAACAGCATAAGTTTTGGAGTGCGCATTGAATGCCGTGGATGGCATAGAAGTGTAATTGGCATGTTTTGGCCATAGCATATGAGTCAAATCTCGAAGGCTTCAGCTCTGTACTCATCATTACTTTGTGCCTCAAAAATTTCTTCGGAGACGATGACAAATATCTGGGAGTTTCTCAAAGGTGGATTGATCAGGAATCTTGCAGTCGTTTTATTTGAAATTCTTTACAATCCAGAGGACTTCGGTACATTGTGAGATTGCAAAATGAGGCTTGACCTCAATTCCATTAGTTATTGACTTTGATCAAGCTTACAATTGAGTTAACAGCTGAACTTTTTCTTCTAAAAGGGAATGCATTTTCAGTCGTATTGGCCTTTCCGGATAAGCTCAATATTATTTTACGAAGACTGTTAATTCCCAATCTGTCTTCAGTATCTGCTGTGCGCCTCTGCATGCCGAATAAATGTTTTTTTGGAGCGAGATAAACGTATAACCTAGATAAGAGGAGTCGTTACTGCCCCTCGGGCCTCATATAGAGCAGTGTGAGAATAAGTTTACTAGACAGAAAGCGTCCACCGCATAAAATGCCCCGATACCCGACACTGAGCCACCTGAGCGAAGTGAATAGTTGAAGTATAAGCGCGCGTTAAATTTATCTACTCAAATCGAGCATAACTCGGCGTCTAAAAGAGCACAGCAGATATCGAAAACAGATGTGGAATCAGCTTCTAATGCTCTTCAGAACGCTATAGATTTCATCTGGGAACGCCACTTCGATAAAGGACACTTTCCCTGTAGGTAGCACCTGCATGCTTTGCCTATCCGCAATTATTCTGAAGATTTCCGAAGGGTACGACTTACGTTTTGCTAATATCAGTCTGGCAGCTAAATTTTCGACGATGTCCATAACCGCTCATTGGATCCGTAGCCTACGTTTTGACACTGTGTGTATTATGCCATAAGCCTACAAATGCTGACTGCTCTGTTAGATCTTGCCATTACTTGTAAGGTTGTACTGTACTGTGCGATCGGCATAGGGGAGGGGAGGGGAGGGCGAAATCATGAACCCCGTTGTGAATTGATCTAGGGGTTTTTTTACTTTCTGATTACGTAATGATACTCGTTCCGTTTGGTAGGGCCTTGTGTCGTCTTGTTTTCCCTGTGGTGTCTTTTCAGCATAGCACAAAGGGCTTTTACCATGAATTGCATATGATATATGCGTTCAGCAGGTCAATTAACTCCCGCTGCTCAAAGTTGTGCATTTGTTCTGATTTTTTTAGCATTCCCGTCAGATCTCGATTTGTCAATTTTTCTTTCATGTTTTTTTAATTGATGACTCGACTTCTTTTTCAATATGTTTGCGGATTGCAACTTGTAGTTTTGGAAAAAAAGCGTCTGCGTTCGTAGCTGTAGCCAGAGCACAATATATTCTATACGTTGCGAAAAATGATGGTTGCAAAGCATAAAATCCTATAAGATTGCAGAACTTAGTTTTTTATCCGATACTATCCTCTCAAGCTTTGTCTGAATTCTCCGGAATTTGTGCGTCATTGGACTTCATTCAGTATGTTTGTCGTGTGAGATGTCACTAGTGTTGTTTACATATCATGAACAAATGCATTAAGTATGCGCGAAGATGTTTCAGTGCGATGTTTTTGACTTCGACTTGATAATGCACGCTTTGTGATGAGGTAGGTACGATTAAAGCCCCGCCTTGCTTACCTGAGTATCCCCGTGAGCATTGAATAGGCCGCTGCGGTTGCCTAGCTGATAGCCAATCACGCATTGTGCCACCTGCAGACTACTATTGACATGTCGACATTAATATAAGGAGCCTTTCTATTAAACTGGGATGAGCTGACCCTGACTCCATGCGTCAGCCCCTAATTGCAAAACTGTGCAGGGTATATTGTCTGCTGACTACTCTGGGCATCCCCTCTACTTCCTGGTAATCAGGTACGAGTAGTTTTCATCTGAGATTTTAGGTCACCATTCCGTCCGACCTGGGTGGTACGATAATTGGACGCGGTGGAGATCGCATCAATAGAATACGGGACGAAAGCGGAGCTCAAATTCAGCTGGAACCCTCTACGGGCCAAGAGGAGCGCGTCATCACCATTACTGGCACTCAAACTCAGATTCACGCTGCGCAGTATCTTCTACAGCAATGGTCAGTCTAAGGTTGCAAAAGTAGTCACTGGGAAGTCGACATGTGTTTGAGAGTGCATAGTTGGTAGGTCGGACAACCGTTCGGTAAAGGATATGCATTTGCCCTAAGACTCAATTTTTTTGCTTCTGTCGTCCTTGGTCCCAAAATCACAGTATCAACATATTTGTCTTCTTGCTCTGATGATTGGCGTCGTGGCATGTAGTGCATGGAATTTTATTGAATTGGCACCTATGTGGGATTGCGAAATAATTGCGCTTTGTGCGGCTTATATTTTCGACGATTTTTTCACTTTAATGGTTCGAGCACATTTTTATCGTGAGGTACGCATCGTATGAGAATGATACTCTGATTGCTGAATCCAGTTTGTTGGTTATGGATATATGTTCAGACTTAAAATTCTTCGGCAGAAATGCGCTCCTGATTTGGATGCAATAATATCCAAATCATTTTCTTCCTTGTAGGAAAATCCTGCCGAAATACTTCCTTCAAAATTTTTGTGTTTTGCGATCTTTAGCAATTGTCCGAGCAATTTTTGAATTGCGTTCATTTTATGCGATAGTTTGACTCAATTGTAAACAATGTTTTATGAAGTGCGTGAGTGCAGTATTGTGGGAAATGCTTGGACGAAGACGAAACATTCGGGAAGGTGATTTATAAAAAGCTGCTGTATTCAAGATTCAGGCAAAGGGTTTTTTGTGGGATACTCGAGATGAATATAATTTGGCTAGTCACCTAATACCAGCTGGGATTCACTCGCCTTTTAGCTGGACTTTTATGTGAATGCACGAATTGGTGTTCGCAAAGAATGTGATTGTGAGACTTCTTTCCTATACTGCACATACCTTAAACCGTTGAGTAGAAGCCGAATGGAAGACAGGAGATTGTGTCGTCGCTCATTTTCTTCGCTGCAATCCCCGTCTATCCGATCGGCTTGGTTGGGGGTTTTCTGAAATGTGAAAGCACTTTTATCGGCTGCACTAGCAGTAATTTCTGTTTGTTGTTCATAAACATCAAAGATTCTGTAGTGAAGGTAGGTTACATTCGTAATCAAGTTTTCTGCAACATTTTTAGGAACCATGCACAATTTGAGTACCAAAATACATTTTTTAGCGTCCGCCAATCAGCCGCCGGCCGCAAATATATCGAGCAACAACAAGCTGGTCACCATAGCCACCACCGTTAAAGCGATGAAAGCGCGGAGGCCGAAATTTTGATAGCAAGTGAATCTTTGTCGTTGTTCGCACTTTACTTCTGTAGACTCTCACTGTAATATTTGGTCGTTAACCTTTTCTCGAAAGTTCGGTTTAGGGTTAATTCAAATCAAATGACTGTAGTATTTCCTTCATGGTTTGTTCACAAATTTTTTCTCCACAATTTTTCAACACGTTAGTTGATGGTGTGCGGTGTAAGCGATATTTTCAATATCCAGCTCCACGATCTCCATGGTTTTTTGTGACTACTGTACCGTAATGGTGTAAGCGTCCCGCCCCATTAAGCTACGATGTTGATGGTACCGAACTGAGCATTGTTCTCATTGTGTTTGTGTTTGTAGACAATTAGTATGGTAAGTCATTTGAATAATAAATTTTTTGTATTTGATCTATACGTGCAGATCATTTCACCTGCGCTCAAATTTAGAGAATTGTGAACATTTTGTTTTTTGCCCTTTTCGAGAAAATTACCGTAATTGCAGCCTTTTGCATGTGTAAGCAGAGGCAATCATTATCTATTTTTATGTCCTATGCGAATCGTTTCCAGGAAGTGATAGAAAATATTGACTTGCAAGATCCGTAACAGATGATAGAATTTCTTGCGTTGTCCTTTTGTTGAGAATATTATTGTTATGCACTTAGAATATGTCACATGTATCTTGGCTGGAATCAACACCTCAATGGTGTTGTTGTGCACCACCACAAAAATGTCATATGATATGAGAAAAAGTCAAGAGAAAAAGTCAACTTTTCTGTATATACCAAACTCAGCAAATGTTGGAATAAGCTTTAGAGTCTTTTTTATGCTAATCTGTGCACAACATAGTATTAGCATAATCTGCTACGCATGTGTTGCGCCTATACAACACAGGAAGAAAGTCAGTAAGGATAAACAACAGGTACAAAAAAAAAGTCATCTTGAAGTAGTGGACCTATGACGGACATATATTTTGTTCTGTGGAAGGAGTGGTATAGGCTGTACCAATCAGCATCCAGCCCTCGTTCTAATCTATCTCGCTGAGCTAGTGGCGGTGCGGACGCGCTGCTCCACTTACAATGTTTCCCACTCCTGGTTGAAAAAGACTGTAGACGTGACGCAGTGCCTTTGCGACACGGACGGTCGATGCCAATTTTGGCCTGGCTGAGATTGGGGCAGACTGTAGTAAGGTTTGTCAGACCGCGAGGGTCGTGGAGTTTGCGGCCATAGCTTATGCTAGGTTAAGAAAGTTTTCTCAGTTTTTCTCTTGTTAAACGCTTTTCCATCAAATGTTAGATTTATTCTACCAGTTTGTGTGAAAATTAATGCACTCCTTATTTATCACGGCAGAGTAAATGTGAAAGTGTCGGAAACATATAATATTATCGATAGAGCAAATTAAGCTCTACCAGCATTCGGATAAACGCAAAAATTTCGATCCATATTTGGGAGCAATTTCTAGAAAAAAATTTTGATTTCCAAAAAGTAGATCTCCATCTACAATGACCCAGACTTTAGTCAAGTTCATACGACTCATATTTCATATATCTTCACTTGATCACCATCTCCAGTATGAAAGCCTTTATATGAAGGAAAACGTAAAAACTCAAAAAAAAAACAGAGAACTTTTACCAAAATCGCCTACAGATTTACATAGAGATGGACTACACTCATTCGTTACCCTCATGAAAAACAAAGCCCTTAGAGCTAGGTATAAAGTATAGACTAGTTTTTGACGTGTTAGTTCATTGCTTTCACATCTTGAGATTAAAGACAAGATTAAAAACCTATGATTACAAGGTATTACAACTTGTAGTACTTGGAGTTAGGATTGGGATGCACTACTGAAAATTTTAGGCAATGTACTCTTTGATTCAACTGAGTTGGCGGCTGAAAGGCGGGGCTTCGTGACCCAATTAAGGCTAGAGAATGGTCAGAGAGCACTTTCGCGAGAGAGAAGCAGACGCGTCTCGGACGCGAGCGGTCGCCATCTCGTAAATCAAATTTTTATCGCCTTCATTTTTTTGCATGCCGGCAGGCGGTTTGAGCTACTATCAAAAGAGGATACCTCGTGCAATATTTCTGCTGAGTTTCGCAAAAGTCTGACTACTTTGATTTGAGAATGCGTATGACCATTTTCCGAAACACATTCTGTGTTGAAGTTTTTTCTGCGCTTTTGTCAAGCGGAGTGGAGAGCAACGTCAAAAATCCATTGTTACGCCTTCGGCATAGTTCTATTTGCCATTTGTCATCTTTCTGTAAATTTTTTTTGCCTTCAAGCTTATCGATCAGTGCCGGATTGTGACTGATTAATTGACTGATTGATTGGTAGATTGATCGATTGGTTGTCTCTTTTGGATTGTTTGGAAAGCCGAAATTGGCGATCCGTTTTCTTGTGGTGCTCCTCCCATTAGCCCAGGGTCTCTAACGAACTCGTTCTTCTAGAGTTAATTTGGCAATCTCTTGTAATTTCTACCGACAACTACCTTTGAGCGGGTAGACGACTATATATCGCCGAAAGTGGGAGGGTCCGGCGCGGACAATGCAGCAGATACTCAGCCTGTGCATGTACTGGAATGGTATCTGTTGCAGATGTCCGGCGGGACCTCCCACTTTCGGCAACATAGGGTGCCCTACCCCTTTTGAGCTTGAGACACGCGCTGAAAAGGAAAGCGGCCTGAAGGCTCCCGCAAGGAATCTATTTTTTTCTACTTCTATTTGTCGGACCCTGTGTAGAGGTGGTGAAAGTGCAAGTAAATTAATCGTAGAAAATTGTTAGTTAAAATATTCGATTCAACTATCGAATATTCTAACTGCTTTTCAAGAATTAAAGAAGTTAGGCAGAAGAGGCCATGCTCTTGTATCTCTGCTTGCGAAAAGGTAAATAGTACACCGAAGCCAGTTGCTGAGAGTGAAGTGTTTTACCCAAAGTCAAAATGTCCTACAAATTTGCATTTGATTGTGCAAGAAATGTTTCTCTAGATTAACATGCTAGTTGAGTTTTTCCTGAAGAACTTCTGAAACGAAGAAGATTCCCTTTGAATTGAGTCAGAGATTTGTTGCCACATCATCTTTGAATCCACGCTCCAAAGTAAATAATTTTGAAGAGACCATTACCAACCTGATCGCTACCCGTATATAGTCGATTCTTCACCGCACGGACTGGACATCACTGCGGACGCGCCGCGAGGTAAAACACGTGCCTTAGTACAAATTCGCCATTGTACAAAACGCGCTCCAGCATCATTTCAGCCGCGTCGCGCTGGTCTGGTCCGCAGCGTTTCAGCAGTCCGTGAGGTCAACGAATCAGCTATACATGACTAATTGAGCATTTTCAATGATATTGATGTCAGATGTATTGTGTCAGCTAAAGTAGTGAATTAAAAACTAAATCTTGCCATTTGAGCTCGATCGCCTTTCTCAAAGCTGGAAAAATGTTGTTATTGTCTGAATGAAACATTTTTCAAAGGTCAGCTCGCTTTAGCGACGATAGCCACATGACCATGTTTTCTTTGCGGTATCAACAACAACATTTTCTCAGCTCTAAAAAAGGCGACCAAGCCGGGATGTTTGTAAAGGGGAAGGATACTTAGTGGGAAAAAGGTACTTTGTGAGTGGCCTTTCGATATGTAACATATGTTGTGACATTGCCTTTGAAACGATGAACACAAACTGTGTTTATCTGCGGAACGATTTTTAAGAAAAATTAATAGCTCCTTGTATTTGACGTAGGAAGAGTAATGTCGAGAGTTGGTAAAGTTGTCGAATGGTCTTGGTTAATGTCGATTACTGCAAAATAGATGCTGATTTGGTCTTTGTCAGTGCGGAAATTTTTGCGCTAGCTTTCACAAGAGCTATTCCTTCTCAGAAAAAAAATAAACGTTTCGCAGATAATTTTCATCTTATTTTATTTTATTTATATTATTTATATATATTTTTTATAATGATCATAGCTTTGAGATCAGTGTTTCGAAACGAGAATTCTCATATACAGGGTGTCCCAAAAAAAATGTATCGAACGTTTGATCGTTAATATCTCTCTTCTAAAAAAGTCTTTTCTCTTGCTTCAGGTACCAATCTGTAAGACCGGCTTCAACTTAGATTTGCATTATAGAACGAATCACTCATTTCTCTTCATTACTGTAGGATTACGGTAGAAACTTCAAAGAGGGTTTTAAGCAATGAAAGACCATATTTTGCTTCAGAAAGGAAACAAAACAGCCTGAAAGCTTTTACACTAGGCTAATTAGAGTTGCTGATTATAACTGTAACGTTCCCAACTTATTATGACGTTTTATTGAAGAGTTATGCCAGGTAAGAGGTAGCGGCCATTTTTCCGATGTTCCTAAAATGTGCGGTTACACCGTTTAGAAAGCTTCGCAACCTTGAGAATATTGAGTATTGAACTCAGCGTCCATAAAAACCCTATTACACAAGTTTTCACATTTTTTGAAAATTTTTGAAACGGCAGCTTTTTCCACATTGACACCATATGTTTCAAGTTTCTACCGTAATCCTACAGTAATGAAGAGAGATGGATGATTCGTTCTGTAATGCAAATCTAAGTTGAAGCCAGCTCTACAAAACGGTACCTGAAGCAAGGCCAAACACTTTTTGGGAAAAGAGATATTAACGATCAAACGTTCGATACATTTTTTGGGACACCCTGTATAACATACCAGTGCGTCACCTCTGCTTCGCAGAGGTTCGCACTGGCTCTACTATCTATGTGCCTTACTCATTCTCGCAAAATCGTGGCACTGGAACTCACCGCGCTATGCCGACTACCACGAATAAAATGTAAACAACCACTCATTTAGAAAGTCTTTTCACGTGAGATCGGTGATTTCGAGTGGATGAAACTTTTCGCAGAAAGACAAACGCAAATTTGAATAGGTTTTTGGATTTGTCGTGGCTTGGTAGTCGCCATAAAGGTAATGATAACCGTGAGCTACATCTCTGTGCGAAAATCTTCTCAAACGCTTGGCTAGAACCTTGGCAAGTTGACCATTTACACAACCAATTCATTTTGGCGCCGTTTTCGTTATGTAGTAAACTTTCGACCACTTTTCTGGCTAAACTCCACCGCTTGCACATTTGCTTACCAAATTCATCCACGACTCTGCAAAAAGTGGTGATACGGACCGAATTTTGCGGTACAGAATCCAGGTGGACCCGTTTGGCGCGCAATTTTTAACGGATCCACTCGACGGATTTGCTCGCGCTTTTGTATAATGGACTTTCATGCTGCTAGCATGCGCCGTGCAAAATTTGGGCTCAGGAGGTTGGCTGGAACATGTTCTACGAATTTCGTAACGGACAGACACACAGACACACAAAAAGACGTAAACAACCCTTAGCCCGTTATTATAAGTCACTAGCTGGCTTACCCGGCTCCGCCGTATCCGGACCAAACTTGGCATACATACACTTCGGGCCCCGGCGGGTGTCACAGTCCACTTTTCGTTATCGATCGATGTCGATTTTACCGATTTTTATCGATTTTTTTGCAGAGTTCACCTACAGGGCTAGGAGTTGGCACAGGGGGGGGGGGAAGTGAGCATGGGGATTCCGAATACAATATTAATTTTCAGAATTATCGATTACTTTTATTGATTTTATCGATTTTTTGTAAATTTTGACATGCGAGGCTGGGATTTTGCACAGGGGGTAATCGAGCATGCTGATTACGAACACAATATTAGTTTTCAGGATCGTCCATTACTTTTATCATTTTATCGATTTTTTTGTAAAGTTTGACCTGCGGGGCTGGGAGTTTGCACAGGGGGGTAATCGAGCATGCAGATTACGAATACAATATTAGTTTTCAAGATCGTCCATTACTTTTATCGATTTTATCGATTTTTTGAAAATTTGAGCTAGGGGGCTGGAATTTGGCACAGGGGTGTAATCGAGCATGCTGATCACCCCCCTTGGGGATGATCAGGGATGATCAGCATGCTCGATTACCCCCCTGTGCCAACTCCCAGCCCCCTAGCTCAAACTTTGCAAAAAAATCGATAAAATCGATAAAAGTAATAGATAATCCCGAAAACCAATATTGTATTCGGAATCCCCATGCTCGATTACCCCCCTGTGCGAACTCCCAGCCCCGTAGCTCAAACTTTGCAAAAAATCGATAAAATCGATAAAAGTAATTGATAATCCTGAAAACCAATATTGTATTCGGAATCCCCATGCTCGATTACCCCCCTGTGCCAACTCCCAGCCCCGTAGCTCAAACTTTGCAAAAAAATCGATAAAAATCGATAAAATCGATATCGATCGATGACGAAAAGTAGCCTATGACACCCGCCGGGACCCGTAGTGTATGTGTGCCAAGTTTGGTCCGGATCGGTTCAGAAATGGAATTTTCTATTCGGAACATACGTACAGACATACATACATACAGACAGACAGACAGACAAACAGACATTCAGCTTTATATATAAGATGATTTTAAATAGCCACGGTCACCAATTATCCTTCCGTGTTAAGATGATTACTAGATTGGTTTAGATACAGATCCTTCAGGAAGAAAGCATTTTTTAGCGTTATGCTGTGTCTGCCACTGTAGCAGCATTTTGATATTGTGGCAAAAAATGTCGTTTTGAATCTAGACCAAATTTCCTGCAGCAATCGGTTCGAATACGGACGAGGTCCACCTTCACCCTCATGATAATATATACATGCGTTGAACACTTTAACCCAGAAAATCGTTTATTTTGCTTCCAGAAGTTCTTGGCATAGTACTTCAAACATCTGTGCACCGTAGTATTGCTTTTGTAGCTTTTTGGTCAAATATCTGTAGGAAACCTGGAATTTGTTTTTTTGGACATCATTGCTATTTCTTTACGAGTAAACTTACCTTTTTATTAAGATGATTGATGACGTAGCCAGCATTTCTCTCTCTTGAATATGTACCTACAGCTTTTGGGGATTCGAAATTGCTAACATCGCTGAAATAGCATCTTCTGTAGTTACATCGATGGTTTTCGTAAACGACTTGAAATCACAAACTGTTTGACAAGCAACACCATATTGTTCGCAAATTCTACAGCTTTACATTTCTTTCCTCCAAAGTATTCAGACAAAGTGATCCTTGAGAAACTATAACGATAGGATTAAGATTGCGTTTATACGCAACATTACTTACATGCTGTAGTCACTGTGTAGAAGGAAGAACTGATAATCGCATTTCTGTATTACATTACGATGGCTAGCAAATGTTGCACATCCCGAGCTAACATTAAATTCCCCGAAGAGGACTTCCTTTCTCATTGCGCTAAAAGCAACCATCACAGTTATAATCAGTCATAATTTTATTCATTAAGCACCGTTGCCGGTTCACATGGGTGCATATCAAAATCAACGATAGCTGTAAATTAGCATACCGTACTCCAGCGGTTGTCATTATGCCGCGGATATACAGGGCTCCTAAATTGCAGAGTCGTTTGCAGCAGCGGTCGCGCGACCGCGTCGCGCCCGGGCATCAATGGCGCCGCCTCGACCGATAGCGCCGGCGCCGGCAAAATGCTCGGGCTCGACGCGGTCGCGCGACCGCTGGTGCAAACGACTCTGCAATTTAGGAGCCCTGTAATCGAGTCGTCCTTTTTAATAATTAAGTTGCTCGCTCTAATCAAAATTGCGCAGAAAGATAAGAACCACAGAATTAGCGCACACAGCTGCCACAAGCTATCGTTCATGTTGACTCCCCCCCCCCTCCCTCCGTTCCTCAGAAACCGTTCCCAGATTCAAAAAACAACGGTAACCCCAGATAATTCACAAACCAACAATGTGAATCCGATCGCGGGAGCTGATATATTCTTGACAAGGCGCAGAGTGCGGGGGGGGGGATCGCTTTGTCAGTTCAAGGCAGCATCAGGCAGAAGGCGAAGGAGAGGGGCTATTCCTTGAAGGCAGCGTCCAGGCAGAATCTTGACTTCTATTTTTTTGCTTTATCCCGGCCTTTTCATGGCGCTGATTCCATATGGCACTCGAAATGTGTGAATTCCTCAACGCCCCCCCCCCTCCATTTTTGAGACATTTTTGTGAGAACCATAGTGCTCCTAATGCTATTCTGGTCGAAACCAAGCAATAATAGGTACAGTCGAGTAGATTTAGCTAAACATAGTGTGCTTGCACAGAAGGTGAAATGCGGTGAAATTTGCGCGTGAACAAGTAGCCACGTTAGTACCGCGGGTATCTTGCGCGCGCAATTGGCTGGCGTCACAGTCGAAACTATTTCTTCACGCGCCAATTTTACAGCATTTCACCTTCTGTGCAAGCACACTATATTTACCGCTAAATCTACTCGACTGTAGACATCAGTGGCGTACCAAGGATTTCGGCTCGGGAGGGGGGGGGGGCGGTAACGCACTCCAAAAAATTATTTAGGGAGGCTTTTCAAAATTTTTGCGGGGCCACGCCCCCGAAAAGATTTTTTATAAGGCTAATTTGAATTTTTAAAAAATTCTAAAAATTATTATAATTGTTTACAAAAATAAACAAGTCACTTGCACATTTATATAACCCATGTAAGTAACTTTCAAAAATTTCGCGGCCCGTTCTCGGGGGGAGGCACCCCTTCCCCCCCCCCCCTCGCAACTCCACTGGTAGACACTATATGTTCCGTTGTGTTTTTCACGTGAGAACACGTTAAGGGCTGGAGAGAGTTCGCGTTCAAGGGGTCGGGCCGTGCGAGGGAGTGGGCGTGGTCCTCGAGGCTCGGCGTTTTCTGCTCCAACTTCCTCCTTTTACAGGGGGTGTTTGAGAGTCGGATTTGTGCGATAGTCCTAGATCAAGGTCCTAGTACTCGGTTATGATAATAACCGAAAATATCCACATCTGCCTGGACGCTGTCTTCAAGTACTTCATGCTGAAGGAAGAAGTAAAGCAACAGCTAACAGTTGGGAACGCAGAGTCGTTGTATGACTTTTTGTTCATGACTGTAGTAGTGTGCATATTCCAGTTCAATTGGGTATTCGTAGTTGTTCAGGATTTGCATCCTTAGCACTATGTTTTAGACTTTACGCGCTTTCGTCCACTGTGGTAGGTTGATAGGCGGATCTGCCAGTGCAGCTTTGCAAGATTTCAGTTTCTCCCTCCTCCCTACTTTGGTAATTTTTTCAAGGTTTTCAACATTAACGATTGCAGCGCACAAGATCAGAGGATGCATGTCAGGTTGAGGATGTAGGCCGATTGGCATGATAGTTATGTTGCGGGGGAAGCTTCAAACCAATTGCTATGAAACATTCTGCGGAGCTTTTGCCCAAGCATTCGGAAGAGGAGGAAAATATTGGCCGCGCGCACAACTCGTCAAAATTAATTATATTGGATATTAGACGCCGTAAAGGGCCGGGCATACATCACCCGATTTCCCCGACAAAACAGGTGTCACGAGTCCTTTGCATGCCCATCATCTTGCATCTCGGTTGTGATAGTTATTTGCGATTAGTCCAGTCGGAAAATTATTACAACCGAAATGCAAGATGGTTAACATGCAATGGACTCGTAACAGTTGTCTTGTCAAGAGATACGCTAGGAGATGAGATTGCCTGATGTATGCGCCCTTGAAGGCAGTGTCTAGGCAAATCTGCACCTATGGGGCCTTTACGTGGAAAGTAATTTTGGGGCCCTAACTAAGGCACTGCCCAAGCGGCAGCGCAGGTGACTCTCTAACGGCTGAGATGTAAGCCTCAAACTGGACCCCACCATCGTATTTCTCATGGATTCATGGCGCAACCCATCAGTTTCGCGCGAGGACCCACGCGAAACTCATGGGTTGCGGCCCCGGGTCCGGTTTCGAGAGGAGTATCTCAGCCGTTAAAGCACTACCTGAGCTGCCGGTTGGGCAGTGGCTTAGTTAGGGCCTCAAAATTACTATCCATATGATCCCCATATGTCCAGATTTCCTGGACGCTGTCTTTAATGCAAAATGGGCTCTCCAGTTTTCGTAAGGGTGGATGTCTCACAAACAAAGATAACGTCCACCCAAACTGAAAATGATGAGGTTTGATGACGTATAGTTGCGGAACGTCTAACTACATTGGCTTAGTTTCGCTGCAAAATCCCCCACAATGGTCGGCCTCCTTAACGTGGCATGTGGGTGACACTGGGTGTCGAACTGCGATGCATAACCGAGTGTATACTTTGGTAGGCCTCCCAAGCTGTGAAGGAGTTCGACGTTTCCGGTTTCGGCCGGATGCCTAGCTAAGAGCCGGGCATGCCAGATCACCCCTGGTTTTCTGGTCGTTAGGCGGTTTCCCCCGCTTCACATCCGGATCAGCGATCGCCCCTTGGAAAACAGAATAGGCTTAGTAAGTCTGCTCTTGTAGGGGAACCATTTATAATACTCCGTCATTTAGAGGAATAGAAAGAAACCCTGCACATCGGATCCCGCCTACGGCGTCAGCTGGTAGCAAGAACGATGTCACGGTCCTTAGGGCGCCTTTTCTATCGAACAAAAATGACACGTCTGCTTGGATGACATTCCATGGACTCTGCTTCATGCTCTGCACCTAAAGGGCCGGGCATACTTCAAGCGATTTCAATCGCGACGCGATTTGGCACTATTCCAAGTGTCCATAACTCATTGTAAGCACACTATAAATGTACAGAAGATAGGGCATTTCTTCAGTTTACGTAAGTTATTCACACTATACATGTGCAGTTTGCTAATGTTGGATCCGAAGACTTCTGGCGAATTGCCAAATCGCGTCGCGACTGAAATCGCGTGAAGTATGCCCGGCCCTTAAAATGCCAGGACAGTCTCACAAGCGCCAACCTACACGCTCTTCTAGATGCTGCGAGCACATCAAGCAACACATAATCGCTTTGCAGAAAACCAAGTCTAGGAAGAAGGACGTGAGACAGATGAGTGATGGGACCCTCATCATTCGTGGTGAAAAGATTCCATCACGAAACGTTGGAGGCGTTGGCTTTGTCGTCCGCCCACCTATCGTCCATCTTTTGTTTCGCATGAGATCCTATTACCTCGACCATCCATCCTACGACTACGATTTCCATGTCAGAAGACCATCACCATCATCAACTGCTACTCTCCAACATCAGCAGCTGATAATTCAGAACTGGATGCTTTCTACGAAGACGTGGAGGAAGTCGTCCGCAACAATCTTCTACAAGTTTGTTGTGGGCGACTTCAGTGCGAAAATCGGGATGCCACTAGAAGAGGAATATAGGATCGGGAAATTTGGATATAGGATCTGAAACGGAAACGGCACCCTTTTGTTGGGCTTCTCTCCGCCGCACGACTTTTCCATGGAAATTCCATCTTTATGAAGAAAGAACATCGTCAATGAACATGGGAATCGCCCAGTGGAACGACTCACGCGGAGATCGACCACATTCTCACCAACCAAAGGTGGAGCTTGCTCGACGTCTCAGTAGTTCCACCCTTCTGCAGTGGCTCCGATCACCGCCTCCTTCGAGCGAAGATACGACTCAGTCGAAAGCTGGAAAAAAAGGTCTGCCACAGTGCCGCGAGAAGGAAGGAAGTCGTTTACGACGGTAACAGGCTGGAAGAGCTCATGTCAAGTTGTGACTGGCTCGAGGAGGACCCAACGTACGACTACGACCGGCTTCTGAAAGGGCTGTGAGCCTGCGGAGAGTGTGCCTCAGTGAATTCTGATTGTAAGAAGAACTTGCAACGTATCTCGAAGACCACAAAGGAATTGCTCGAAAGAAAATTTCTGAGGCAGAACCGAATGCAACCCATCTCGAGCGACTGATAGCCAACGCCAGAACAGCTTTGCAGGAATATCTCAGAAAGTACAGACAAGCCAAGCAGGAAGGAAGGAATGGAAGCAGCCGAAGTAAGACGAATCTCAAGAAGTGCCGAAGAGACCTCTGTGAATATCACGTACCGCTGGCTGCACTATTGAACGAAGACGGGACTCCGACTTCTTCCCGATAGAATATGGAATCTATTGCCGATTCCCGTTGTTTCCACTGGAGAAGTACCGCCAAGGATTCTACCTGCTAAAGTGTGCACTGCGATTCAGACCATGAAGACGTCCACGGCTCCAGGACCAGACCATAATTCCATCGAATTTCTGCGAGCCGGAGGACAACGTCTACAGAAGATTTTCGCGAAGCACTTTACACCTTACCTTCAGAAGGAGGGGATTCCCGACCAAGGGAGAACGTCAAGAACCATCTTCTCTTCAAGAAGGGTGAACGGGAGGATCTTTGGAACTACCGTCCAATATGCCTGCTGAGTGTGCTGTACAAGCTTTCCACGAAGTTATCCTTGTCGCATTTCTAGGACACTGGATGAAGCCCAATTCCAAGAACATTATGAATTTCGCAAAATTCAGCTGCATGGATCACATCCAGACGGTTAGGGGTCATAGAAGTCTGCCGGGAATACCGACTACCTCTCGTCCTAATCTTCGTCGAATACGAGAAAGTCTTCGACAGCGTTGAAACCAACGCCATCCTGTCAGCGCTAGTCGATCAAGGAGTGGACCCAGCCTACGTGAGGACACTGGCCAACTGCTACAAGGACTATACAACAACGATGCAGCTATTTCATCGCCCCCTAACCATTCCAATCGGGAAAAAGGTTCGACAAGGCGACACCATTCCGCCGAAGCTGTTCGCCGCGGTTTTGCCGTAGGTGATGAAGTCACTCTGAGACGAGAGAGGCATACGAGTTGATGGGAAATTAATTTTGTCCAACCTTCGTTTTGCAGACGACATTATTCCTTCTCGAGCAGTATCACTGAAGCAGAGACGATGCTGAAGGAACTAAAGGAAGTGGGAAAGAAGATCGGACTGCAAATAAATCGCAAGAAGACTCAGTTCATGAAGAACGCCCTTTGCGAAGAGGAAATGGAATTGGCACCCCTATCATGGAGACATCTTCCGTGCATCGCGCTGACCAACTAAAGGACCCCTTAGCTTCGTGCCCACCTGTTCGACTCGACCGTTCTCCCGGCGCTCTGTTACGCAGCTGAGACTTGGCCCGACACTGTAGCCACGTCGAAAGCTCTAAGAACCACCCACAGAGTGCTTCTGCAGTCTTTTGAAGATGAGCCGACACAAACAACATCTCGTCGGACTTCGCAGTACGTATATGAGGGGAATGTCCCGTCTTCGTGACCCAGCGGATTACGTTGCGAAAGCGAAGCATCGATGGGCCGGTCACATTATGAGAAGAACCGACGACAAGTGGACATTAAGAACATCGGAATGGACTCCTCGCGAAGCGAAACGTTTCCGAGAAGCTCCCAGATGGACAGACATGTTCGTGGAACGGATGGACCAACTGAGAAATCAGCTGGATACGACTTTCACCAGTGGAACTCGTGGACGCAGCCACCGACGACCAAGAAGATCGTGTGTCTGAAGCGAGGGACAGGGACAAATGACAACTTTTGTGCTGGGGCCCGCATGCTACGTGAGGACGACCCATCTACGTATCTAAGTAAGTAAGCGCTGCAAAATATGAATTTCGAAGCGAGAAAACCTGCTCCAGATAGAGGAAGGCCACGCTGGCTATGCCCATCATCAGAGGTGGTTTAGAGATAACAAGTCCAAACATGGATTTAATGTATCCAAAATTGCTACAAATCTTTCATCATTATGGTTATCAGATTTGCAACTTTTCTGACACTTTGAAGCCCAAAACCGGAATTGTATCTTCAGATCAACACGCGTGATGACTGAGCCAGCGTGGCCCGCTTCTACCTTCTGAAGGTTTTCTCGCCTCGGAATTCATATTTTACGGCGAGCTTTGGGCGCTTCCCAGTTAAGGACCCTGTCATTACATGGCATAAAAATCTCATCACTTTTAGGCCTCGGACAAAGTTCACGCGAATTGATCGTTGCGATTTAATCGCTGCGATTTTCATTCATTTTCATTTTACATTCAAAAATTTCGAGCTTAAAAAGTGTCACAACCGAAATGTAAGCTGATCGGCATACAATGAACTCGTAACAGTTGTCTTGTAGCGATTGAATCGCGACGATCAAATCGTGAACTCTGTCCGAGGCCTGAATCTGACAATGAGCGGATTGTGTCTTCAAGCATGTGAATGGTCGAAACTCCTGCGTCAATGTGTCCAAAGCAGTAAACATCACTTAGTGAACAGTGAAAACCTATTGCATTACTGACTAAAGTGCTATAGGTTTGAATATTCTTCGTTCCTTAACGTTGTCAACATCCGTATAGTAGCGATGGCCATCGCGAAATCGAGCAGGAACGATTGTCTGAAAGACAGTCCGGTGACAGACTGAATCCGCATCGTAGGTTACATACAGCGAATTTTGAATAGTCCGGACGCGTAACTTTGGCGCTGGTCGCAAGAGCGACTTGAATCAACAACAGGAAGACGTGCTTCATAACGATGAAATGGGAATTATCCGAAATTGATTGAATGACGAAGTGTTATTGTAAACATGTTTTCATCAATAAAGGGTTTGAAAAATCATTTTTAAGGCAAAGTTTGTAAGGTGGTTGCCCTTATCAAGAACATTGCTGAGGATGAAAAAAAAATAGTCCGAATTCTACTTACGGTGATTGGCGGGAGCCGGCCAACACATCTTGCTCTTTTGGAAAGAAATCAGGGACGTTTTTTTAGCGAGAAAATCCTTTTCTCTCCGTGAACTTTCCTCTTTTTTTTTTGTTCTAAGTTTGGAGTTTTCCTCAAGAAATTCTCCAATGGTTGCAACTTCTATTGTTGCAATCTACATCAGTAATTAAAGGTAGCTTCCAGGCAAATCTGGACTATGGGGGATTTACGTGGAAAGTAACTTTGGGACCATAACTAAGCCACTACCCAACCTGCAGCTCAGGCAGCGCTCTAACGGCTGAGATATTCGCCTTCAAACTGGATCCTAGGATAGTATTTCGCATGGATTCATGGCGCGACGCGTGGATCCTCCCGCGAAACTGATGGGTAGCGCCATGAATTCATGCAAAATGCGATCCTGGAGTCCAGTTTGGAGGCGTGTATCTCAGCCGTTCGTGAATAACCTGCGCTGCCGCTTGGACAGTGCCTTAAGGGCCCCAAAATTGCTTTACACTTAAATTCCCCATCGGTCCAGATTTTCCTGAACGCTTGACTAAAAGTCGTTTCTTCTGATTTGTTAACAAAATGTAGCAATTTGTTAGTAAAAACGGGAAAATGTAAACGAAAGTTAGAAAAGCCTTTTCTTTTAGTTGATAAGGAGCATAAATGGTCTCTGTGGAAAATATTACGTTACAGAATCTTTGATTCCAGGCTTTCTAGAGATTTCGACAAAAGTGACTGATAAAGCCTTGCGTGTGTCCGGGACTGCTTAGAGCCTCTAGTGAAAAAAAAAACAACAAACAAATGAGTAACGGATATCTTTGGAAGCCTATCAAGTTGAAGATGGACGAGTGAATACGGGACCCGCCAAGATTAGGAAACGAAGAGTCCCAATCATAGGTGCGACAGGGGGAGCCGGGCTCTTCTCAGGTGAAGGGGGTCTCGGCTGTTCCCGACCTTCCAGGGTGAAGGGGGTATGTGAGTCTAGGGGGGGGGGGGGGAAGAAAGGAAGAGAGAAAAGGTAAAAAAGCGTGGTATGAAGAGCTCTGATTTGCACCTTATTTATCACAAATTGAAAATTTTTTTTAAAAATTTTGAAAGAAATTAAAATTAAAAAAAAATGACTTTATGAAGATCTGTGCTCCTGTTTCATTGTATCAACAAAAAACGAAAGCAATAAGGTTTATAACAAAAGATGTACAAGTTAGGAACAACTTCAATTCCTGCACATCATCATCAACAATATTACTATCGCTAACGTCAGAGACAACAAGTTCGCTGCCTGAAAAATCTTCTTCTTCCTCCAAAAGGTCATCGGAGTAGAAGTAGAGTTGCGTGCAAAAGCGTTCTGAGTCGAAAATGGATTTAAAACTTTCTTCTTTTTCTAAGCGCTTTTGTGATTTTTTTCCTGCGCTCTGGTGGCAGGTAGGTGACCAGGAAAGTCAGCAGGTAGGTGACCAGTTTCTTCATACCATCTTTTAGGATATTTCAAAAAGTCATACGGTAACAGCCTGTCTGGACCACTTATACCAACCCTTTAAATGAAGTTTCTAAATAACAATATGTTCAGTAGAAGGTTGACAAATCTTAAGTAATTGCTTAGATGCTCCATCGTTGTACGACTTCTGCGTTGTGTTCCGATAACAGAGTAGATAGAAAATTTCTTTCTCCACCTCTGCCGTGCTAATCGGAGTGGAAACTAGCTTTGCTAATAAGTCCATCAGATTTTTGCGGTAAATAATGGGGAAAGAGCGAGATCGCATATGCTTTCGCAACACGGGAAAGAAATATTGCATATCTTTTTGGGCCTTGTCGAACTCTGGCTTCACCTCCTCTGGTATACATCCTGTTAACTGATGAGAGCTCAACTTCTTTTTTGACAGCATCTGAGAATAGCCGAAAAGGAATAGCCGAAAAAAGTAGATACTATGCTGCGCGTTGGTTTTTTTTCAATATCATAAGTCATAATGTCACAAGGGGAATAACTTCCAAAAGCATAAAGCACAGAGTTGGGTTCGCACTCCTGTCGGGATCTAAGAGCAGTAGCTATGCTTTGTACTAACACCTTCCTTTTGTTCATATCCATGTTTATGAATTTAGCAGCTTTGAAATCTTCAGCAACCTAATGATCAGCAATGGACTTCCTGGACATTTCCTCATTGACACTAGACAATCTGCTTGGATTTCTTATGTAGGGAATTAGAGAGTTTCGCTCAATTGTCAACTCTGTATCAATGTTGACAACATTTTCGTCGGCGTAAGATTCTCCTTCTGCCTCGCTGTTGAACTGGAACACATGCGAGTCATCTGCGATTTTGTAAAGTATTCTGCCTGCCGTTTCCTCTTCAAACTGCCAACCTTTCCAAAACATTGAGGGATATTTCAATAATATGTTATTCTTCTGAATGTCTTAAAGTTTTTGATTCATTGAAACCAACCATTCTCTACAAATCAGGTAGGGGGAGTCTAGAGCATTCTCACGAAAGTGACCTTCTTCAGCACTAGGTTTACAGAGTATAGATTCCAGAAATGGGCGGGTTTTTGTGTGAAGGTGTGGAAATTCACCAATCTCCGATAGTTCTTTGAGTGTGTGCTAATGATGATGGCATAACTGTCAATCAAATTTTTACCAAAAAACATTTACCAAAAAAAACAGCGCATTTTTTACCAAAAAACATAAACATACAACAACGATAAGCACGCTTAAATAGATGCGTTAGCTCACGTTCTCGTTAGTGCTGATAACGATGCCAATCCGTAGCACATTTTTACTATTAACTTGCTCCACCTCGTTCTTATTAGGTAGTCCCGAAAGTTTTGGCGCTCGATTTTCAAAAATTCATAACTTCTGGGTCGGTAGTAATCTGGTCGAAACTCCGAGTTTGAAGCTGCGCGTTAACTCAGAGATAACTCTGAACAGGAAGGCTTCCCAAGTCAGCTCGGCCAACCCGGATGAGTCATATATCACCGTAACGGGCTCGAGACGCTGATTCCAAATCTGCCGTTTCCAGCTGCGGAGCGGTCCTGCACGAGAAGTTATGGGTGGTGTTTCCCTCCAGAGTTGAGGCACCCGTCAAAGGATCCACTGCTCCAAAACCATTTACAAGCCCAAATTTACATTCTGCAAAAAATTGCAATAAAGTTACAATTAACGGGATTCGGACCCGTGACCCTCTGCCTACCGAGCAAGACACTTACCACTACACCAGACGACCACGCGCCTCCTATATAGCGCTCATAAACAAGGGGAGACAAGTTGACGGGTGCCTCAACTCTGGAGGGAAACACCACCCATAACTTCTCGTGCAGGACCGCTCCGCAGCTGGAAACGGCAGATTTGGAATCAGCGTCTCGAGCCCGTTACGGTGATATATGACTCATCCGGGTTGGCCGAGCTGACTTGGGAAGCCTTCCTTGTGAGTTCCATTTCTGAAACTCTGAGTTACGCTTATTGAAACTCTGAGTTCCGTTTTCGTAATTCCGAATTCCAACTCTCAAGCTCGGAGTTTTGCTTTAAGGAGCTGTTAAGCACTTTGCTGCAAAAGCGACGTTAAAGTAGGGACTCGAACCTGTATGGTCTAGCGTAAAGATCCTATCACTAAACCGCTAGACCATGACACACCCACGAACCCTAAAATTGCTTTGCCATAATGTACTCACTCATTCCATTAACACTCAGCAGGTCAAAACAAGTTATACCAAAGCCTAACTCATTTCCATTTCTATCGGGCAGTGATGGTTCATCACCAGGATTGGTCTTTTGCGCAGCTGAAAGCTTCAAGCAATAGAGAAAGCGGATGGCATACGCAATGATAAGAATTGACTATTAGGATTTGCGCACAGAATAAATCCTCCGGGCAAAGTTTGCCCTTCCATGATTTCGTCTTGCTTACCGTATACCCACCATAACCGTTCCATATGTCACCAGTGTATGTAACAGATAGGTTGTACGTAATCTGCATCCCGAATAACTCCAGTGTACCAAATTTCGGCTAATTCCGCCGCTTTAATTCATCTACCGTAAACCTACCGTAGCCCCGCCAGATGACACTGCAGTATAATCTACATGTCATATTCGTTATCGGTGCCCCGAATAACCCCAGTGTACCAAGTTTCGATCAGTTTCGTGATTTTCTTCTATCTACCGTAAACCTACCGTAACCTCGTCAGATGACACTGCAGTATAATCTACATGTCATATTCGTTATCGGCGCCCCGAATAACCCCAGTGTACCAAGTTTCGATCAGTTTCGTGATTTTCTTCTATCTACCGTAAACCTACCGTAACCTCGTCAGATGGCACTGCAGTATAATCTACATGTCATATTCGTTATCGGCGCCCCGAATAACCCCAGTGTACCAAGTTTCGATTAGTTTCGTGATTTTCTCCCATCTACCGTAAACCTACCGTAACACCTCTACATGACCTCTTAGTAAAAAATGGGTACCATATGCGTGATTAGCGCACCGAATAACCCCCTGGGCCAAGTTTTTACAAAATTTCAAAATTTCTTAAATCACTGCGCACCACGATACCCCCATCATGCCTGCTTAAACTACGAGCAAAATGTACCCAGGACTTTTTAGCTGCCCCTCTTTCTTTGCGCACTATTTCTCTTTCTCTGACCAAACTCAGAGTTATCTCTGAGTTCCACGATAGACTGGAACTCGCACCAAACTCAGAGTTATCGCAGACACTAGTTGCGCGTTTGGTGGCGCTGTTTCTTGTGCAGGACGATTTGGACAATGTTGCGCTACTAGGAATAAACTACGTGTTAAGGAGAATCCTGCTATATCATCGCTTTCCGGATATGATCTGTTCAAACACCTGTTAAGGGGGTCA